GATTTCATGACCCCATCTTCCACAATAGTGGAAGGAACGTTATTGGCGGGCTGTCTGTGGCTGCTGAAGTGCATGAATGCCTTCCAGCAGTCTTTCCTCGTCCTCTTCAGACTGCAGATCAGAGCCAAGCGATACAGCCTCGACATCAAAGGCTCTACAATAAATCCGAGCTTCGCTTTTTTGCACAGCCAAAGACGCCGGAATTGCGATCATTAGCTCTGAAAGTTCGAGGCGTCTCTATATTGTGTAAATTCCATAGCTCGGCTTTTGGATTGCGTAGCTGTTGCCCATCGTGCAATCACTTGATGTGAGAGCACAGGCAGATATGACGTAAACCATTGACAAAGCATTTTTGCTGGTCTACGTCGTGGCTTTTCGCAGACCGAGGCATCATATATTCCGATACACAGATTTATGGATAGATTCTACTGCCAAGGCTTTCTCGATTCGGTTAAAGTGTGCTGTGGAGATGATCTTAGCATAGACCGATTTCAGGACGAATGACGACCAGGTACTGTAGTAATACTTGCAGGCAGAAAATTTACATTAAAGAGCTACTACCTTATAGGTTTACCCATCTAATAAACACATCGTGGGGGATATTATTATGTCCTTTTTGTGTGGCCACAGAGTGAGGTACAGCTTCAACCTGCTGATGAAATATACTATTACTTGCCCATTCCAGCGGGCTTCACACTTCTCTTGCCGGAGTAACCTCATCAACGCACCCATGAAACATTCTATGAGCTGAAAAATCATGCCTTTCTACCAGTTGTGGAGCCACTGCGTTTACAGCAGCTTGCAAGCCGGCCTTGCCGCCGCAAAAAGGCGTTGTGCCAGCACCTACCTACAACGCCAGAGGGTCTTTCCCCAATCCTGTTTCTAAACATAAACAAATAATTCAAGAGCTGAACACCTCGATGGAAAACGGGAAAGTGTTCTAGGGCAACTTTACATCACACTGCATCCACAGCCGGTGGATGAGCAACAACACATGCTCTGAGCCATGCAGTGCAACCAGATGAAGTGCTCCATCTATGGCCTCCGTAAGAAGACTCTTGACAGACTCAACGCAAAAATACGGAGTTCTTGATAGATTCTCAGTAAAACCGTCGCCTGACCCTGCACACACCCCTCAGAGTTCTCGACGAGGGGAGAAAGACAGCCAGCGTGCGAGCAGGTGCATCCCAAGAGCACTCGTCTCACTTGACAAATAACTGGACGTAGCACCTAGCGCGCACGCAAACCACCCTGCGATTTCTTGTATCGAGCTACCAGTACTCTGCAGTAAGTAAGTCGTGCGACTAGGCAATCCAAGTAGTCAATTCTTTACTATTAAATTAACAACTGTGATTGGTGAAGTAAAAACTGTTCACAAGTGCCTCAGCTCGCTATACCGTATTACGGGTTTGACCAGACATTGCAGATTTAGGCCCCGACATGTTTAGAGACCTTGAAATAAGCGTTGCAGGAGCCGTCGACACTTGCTCGTTAGAGGCGATCTCTGGCTGGGCGCGGCTTTTGCATTGTGCAAGTGCGTCACGGTATGTGTTTTTTGATGCCTGGTTCGACTCCCTAGGGGGATCCCCAAAGCAGTTGAGCACTCGCAGCCATTTACGTATGCGCCCATGATGAAGCAAAGGTTGCGTCACGAGGGATGACGAGACGCAGCCTCCAAGCTGCCTATACCCTGCTGGAGCTGAATCTGCCTCTAAATCCCTACACCGTAATGCCTCTATGAAATCTTCCTGAGCACGTACTGGATAGCCTCGAGACGTCGCAACAGTCGCAGGCAGCGCCGCGTTCAACACCGTGCCCCCCTGCGGCTGGTGCGTGCACGTGTCTGACATGCTTTTAACGCTCTGTGAGTGCCATTCGCAGAGCATCTCGGTGCGCTTTCGTAGGATCGCTTGATCTCGTTGTCTGGCTGCCCGTGCTGCCTCTCGCTTGCACTTCTGTCCCACTTCTTCGGCGTGGCTAGCTGCCCGCATTTCGCGTCGCGCAGAATTGGTGTTCTATGAGCTACACCTAAGGAGCAAAGCTCTGAGCTGACTGGCGGCGCAGTAGCCGTGATACGAATGTATACCAGAAACGACGCATGCATGTTGGCTAGCTCGGCCCGCACACTGCGAATACGGAAAAATGGGGGCATGAAGGAAGACCCCCCTTGCGCCTTTATTTACAGCATTTTGTCGAGGAGTAGGAAGGCGGAGAGGCTTGCCAGGAGGGACTGGCGACTTCGGCAAACCGTGGAGACTTACAGAGCATTGTTCTCAGACTTGGCGATAGCATACTGCACATGGCCATCAATCTACCGCAGCCCACACGCCAAAGATACCGAGAGGAATCTTTAGTTGTTGCCCGCAGAAGCAAAAAGGCTAACGTAAGAACCGCGGATTGGGGCGTATTCCCTGGCTGGGCGCCTTTTTCTGGCTTTGGCGCAAGAGGCCGTTTTTCTGTGCGGCTGACAAAGACGGCAAAAAGCCGCTAGGAGAAAAAAGCAGCAAAAAGCGACACGGCTTTCGTACGAGGCGCTGCAGCCGGACGACTTCTGCTCGACGCCACAGAGTGCTGTTGCTAGTCTGCTAGCTGCAGCGATGTGCTTTCCTCTGCGGAGACAACAGCATTCGGGACAGAGTCACCTTTTGCGGCCTTACAGCTGCTGCGGCTGTAATGACAAAAGCAGCAATCTCCGTCAGCAATTATTTGTTGCACCGATTCTCGAGTAATGCCGTTTTATGCCGGGCAGCGTTGCCGCCTCTAGAAAAGCAAAAGGGGCCTTAATACGTGACGTTCTGGCCATGCGTATGCTTGGCGCGCTTTTTCCGCTCCTGTGCGACTTTGAAGCGGTTCGCCTTAGCTGTCGCTGCCGTGGATGGTGCTGCAGAAGATCTTGGTGGAGGCTGCGGCTTCAGTTGATGCTCCGACACTTTCAGGCCGGGGGGCAGCTTGCACGGCAACACCACCCTAGTGCCACTGCTGTTGCTGCTGCTGCTAAAACGGGCTGCATGCAGCCGCAAGAAGTGCTGCAGCTCCGTCTTCCCCCATGCGAGCACTTGGAAGGGGAGTCGTCCGACATGCATGGTGCAGGCGGCGCCGCATTCGGAGGCCTCCCTTCAGCCGCTTGGCGTCTCCAAAGCAAGGAAAGCACCCTCTATCTACTTTATCGCTGCCGTAAAGCACTGTCTTAGCCGCTAAAATAATAACCTCCGCAGCAGCAGCAGCAGCGACGGCTCCTGCTCATCAGATCACTTGGTCATGCGGCTGCTGCCCCTTGACCTCCTGGCTGCAACGCAGGCGCTGCCGCTGGTGCAGTAAATTCGGAACGCGCGAAAAAATACAGCGAATTTCATAGAAACGAGGTAGTCAGGGTGGGTGTCAAAGACGCTCCGTACCCGCCTGCTGCTAGCAAGCAAGGTAGCACTCGCGCATGCAACAGCAGGGGGCACCACCTCTGCGGCTTGCTTGCCTGCAGACCGACCGACCCGCAGCAGCCAGGAAACGGCGCAGCCGTCTGCTCATTCCAGCTAGCGACAGAGTCGGATGCTGCTTTCTTCACAGAGTGTGTGGCTGTCTGGACCCCTTTTCCACGCTCCAGCGCGCAGGCAATCCCCGCTTGCTCGCGGGAGGGGAGCGGCCTCGTGGGAAGGCCACACCCCAAATCTACAGAGGGCCTCCATCCACCAGATGCAGAGGCACGAGCGGCTCGCAATGTCTGCAGCAACCGGCGAAAACGCGGATAGGGGGGGCCCCCCCCGGGGGGGCGGCCACAGGGGGGGGCCCCCCCGGGGGGGCCCCCACAGGCGCGGGAGAGGGCGCGGCTCTCGGGAGGGCCCTGCCCACTGCGCTGGGGGCCCCCCCCGAGGACTAGCAGCCTCCTCGCGTGCTCAAGAAGCTCAGGCAGAAACTCCGCATGCAGCGCATGCCGATGGCAGCACGACTCGAGGGAGTGCCCGTCACAGAGGTGCTAGAAGACCTACTTCGCACCAGCATCATCAGCAGCAGCAGCAGCAACAGCAGCATCCTCATCAGCAACAACATCCTCATCGTCGGCAACAGCAACAGCAGGAGGCCAGCGACATCGTCACCATCGACGCATGCCGAGTATTTGTAGAGGGGGCTGTCACGGCAGGTGCCTCCATTGGGGGGTGCCCCTCCCCCCAAACGCAGTCTCAGCCGCCTTATCCTGTTCTGGAATGCGTGGTTTGCTGCGAGGAAACACCCTGTCTCGCCGTAGGCTGCTGCAGCCACTTCTGCTGCTGGATGTGCGCCGTGCGGCTGCGGCTGGGTCCTCGACGTTCACGGCACTGCCCATTCTGCTTTTGCAACACGCCGTTGTTGCTGCTGCTTTTTACCGGTGAGGCGCGTGAGCGGCTTTCCGTTGAGCCGCCTCTCGAGGCGCTGCTCAATCCCCCAGTGTATGCAGCGGCTGCTTCCTTGAAACTTCCCCCCCACCTCCTTGCCCCCGAGGTAGGCCTTGCCTTTTCTTCTGCAGCCGTTCGCAGGCATTGCGAGGCGCTGCTGCAGCTGCGCTGCTGGCAACAACCGTGCCGAGACAGCTGGCTGTTTTCGTATGTCTTTGCCGCGGATCTTACGAAGCAGCAAGAAGAAATGAATCTCGCAATCGCTGCGGCTGCGGAGGCGAAGCGACGCCCTCTGGAGGCCCTTGCTAGAAGCGCTAGAGGCAGCAGCAGCAACAACAACAGGAACGAGAACAACAGTGATGAGACGCTCCTATTTACGGGGCCTCTGGACGAGCCGCATGTCTTTTTGTCGGTGCCTCAGCTGTCTGTACACCTCAGCAAGCAACATGCCCTGGAGCTCTGCAGTGTCTGTCTTTTGGGTCGCAGCGAGCAGCTCCTGGTGCAGCAGCAGTTGCTGCCGCGCCCCCTTTATAAGCTGCACATGCAGCAGCAAACGCGGGGCCTCAAGAATTCAAGTCCCGCTGCTGCCGCTACTGCTGGGGTGTCTGTACACCCCAAGTGCAGCGTCTGTCAGGAACGCACAGTTGACGGAGACGCGTTGCTGCTGCACTTCAGAGACTGTCACTTCTCCTGCCCTCTCTGTGAACAGGAGTACCATCGCGCGATGGCCGCTGCAGCGGCGGCTGCTGACGCGGGGGCATCAGAGGCGCCTCCTTCTGCAGAAATCGTGCCTGTAAGACGTGGTCACTGCATTTGCTGTTGCAATTAATAGTGCTGATTATGCTGATGATGATTATGCTGATGACGATGATGCTGATGTTGATGATGATGATTATGATGATGATGATGATTATGCTGATGATGATCATGCTGGTGATGATTATTATGCTGATGATGACTATGCTGCTGATGTTGATGATGATGATTAAGCTGATAATGATGATAATGATAATAATTATGATGATTAAGCTGATAATGATGATAATGATAATAATTATGATGATTAAGCTGATAATGATGATGATGATTATAATTCTGATGATTAAGCTGATAATGATGATAATGATTATAATTATGATGATTAAGCTGATAATGATGATAATGATTATAATTATGATGATTGAGCTCATAATGATGATGATGATTGTGAAGCTGTTCTATTGCTGCTGCGGAGCTTATGGCCCGGACGCCGCTGCAAAACGCTCTGCACTTGCTGTTGCTGCGCTGTCTGCAGGTGTTTGGTCAGATCGAAGAGCTGCAGCATCATTACACGCAGGAACACTATCCGTGTCCTCATAGAGACCTCTGTCCGCTTACGGTGTATCGGAATCTCACGGATTTGCACATGCACATTGCTGCCGTCCACGGCGGCAACAGCCGACCAAGCAGCAGCAGCAGAGCGATTTCCGCTGCAGCTGAGGCGAGTCGGGGTAGGGGACCCCAGCAAGTTTCTCCGGCGAGCACTGGCAACACATTTGGCAGCAGTGCAGGCCCAGTGGCACTAGCCTTGAGAGCCGACTATGCGGCTTACCGGAGGCTGCTCATCAGCTATCTTCGCCAGCGAAGGTCTCATCGGGGAGCTCCTGCGTCTGCTGAAGCGCACGCCGCTGGACGAGCGAGCATTGCAGCAATTACGACAAGCCTCCCCAGCAGGAGCAGCGGTAGCGCTCCCGCAAGAACTTCAGGAGAAACACCGACGTCGGGGGCAGCACCAGCTGAAACAGCCGCTGTTTCAGCAGCTGAAACAGCCGCTGCAGATCCGGATAAGTGGCAGGAACAAGAGCGCGAGGCGCTTACCCGCGGTGCATGCGACAGCAGCAACAGCGATGGCGGCTTCCGCTTGCCTCCAGGACTGTCGTCTCGTGGAGTCTTCTGCGAAACAGCAGAAGGGGCGCGAGGAGGAGGGGGAAGGGCAGGAGCAGCCAGGGTAGCAGGAGCACCTTCAGATCCTGCACACCACGCGCAGCAGCAGCAACAAGAGCAGCTGCAACAAGAGCAGCTGCACAGCAGCAGCAACACAGAGTCTTTCGTATTTGTCGCTAGCGAGAATTCGAGGGATGCGGCATTGCCCTCCCCCAGAGAAGAAGCGATTGCCACTGCTGATGCAACAATTTCAACGCCAGTCCAGGAGTATTCGGCTGCTCTGAGCAATCAGGAGGCTTTTCTCAGCTGTGTTCCTCCAGGTGCTGCTGCAACGTGCAGCAGCATTCTTCCTTCTTGTGCTGCTCTGCAGCAGCTGCGAGACGCGCTGCCCCTGCTGTCTCAGCAGCGGGAAGCTGCAGCCGTAGTGGCAGCTGCAGGTCGCACTGCTGCCCTCACAGTACTGTTGCTTCCAGACGAAGACAGCAAGCGCATATCTCGCCTGTACTCGGATCTGATGCAGCACCTGCTGCAGCAGCAGCAGCAGCAGCAGCTGCGCAGCATTGCTGCTGCGCTCACAGCAGCCGATCAGATGCTGCAACAACAGCAACAGCAACAGCAACAGCACCAACAACAGCACCAACAACAGCACCAACAACAGCACCAGCAACAACAACTTCTTCAAGGATCTAGAGCTAAGGCCCTTCTAAAGCAGCAGCGCGAAAAACTGTTTGAAGATTTTGTGGCTCACAGTGTCTGCATCCTCTTTGGCACTTCCTGCTCCAGCAGCGCCAGCAGCATGAGCAGTGGGAAGGGTGACATGTTGCTTCTCCGCAACGTTGTGCAGTCTGCGAAGACAACGCTTCCAGAGACACCGCAAGGCTTGCTGCTGCTGTGTCTCTCCTTGGGGGCGTCCAACTCTTCGAAGCGCTTGCTGCTCGCGGAGGCGTTGCAGCGCCTCGCAGTTCGCATGCAGCAGGAGGAGCAAGCGGGGAAGGAAGGCGAGCAGGGGTGCTTGCCAGAGCAGCTTGGTAGCCAGCTATCGCTTGGAGGCGTCCTAGGCATCGGCTCTGCTGTCTGTACTCCGACCATGCCTCCTGCGCTTCCAGTTTGTTCTCCCGCTGCATCAGCGTCAGCGCAGCCTCACAAGGAGCTGCTCGGCGATCTAGCTGTCTGCGACTTGCCCTTCACGGCTGCCACTTCCTTTCTCGAGGCACTGAGCTTCCTTTTGCGGCACATCCAGTCGCAGCAGCAAGGGGAGGGGGGTCTTGCCAAGCAGCAGCATGGGCAGCAGCAGCAGCAGAAGGTGAAAAAGGGGAAACTGCTGCAGCAGCACACGCAGCGCCTCAGGCAGAAGCGCCTTGAGACAGGAAATGTTTGGGGAGTGCAGTCTGAACAGCGACAGCAGCAGCAGCAGCATGAGCAGCAGCAGCCGCAGGAGCTGGAGCTCGATGCCGCATGCACTGGCGATGCCATTGCGCAGCTAGTTGCTGGACGCTCACGTGTAAGAGAGATTCACTGCCGCTGTTTCTGCCGCAGGCTGCGCGCGCCGATGTGGCTGCCTTCGCTACAGTGCATGCAATTAGTTGGGCTGCGAATGCTGCTGTTGCCGATTTTGCGCCTCGCAGCTAGAGATGCAGCAGCTGTCGTTGCTGGCACGCGACCTCTCCCCCTTCGTCACAAATACAAAATTCTTGGAAGACTGTCAAGCTCTAGGGTTCGTGCCTGCTGCTGCATGCGACTCTCTGCCGCCCGCGTCTTTAGGGGCGTCGTTTGTAGCTAGCTAGCGAGTTTAGCTAGCTAGCGAGTTTAGCTAGCTAGCTGGCTTGACCAACCTTTGTGGAGGCTATTCTTCCCGGCTTTGTCTTCTCACATGACGCCTGCATGCATCGCTTCTTCTTCGTAGCTACAGACGCGTCAAAGAACGCTTCTGCTGGCGGCTCAGTGCTTGGAGAGCAGAAAAGTGTGTTTTTGCAGACCTGCCTTTTACTGCGCTCGCCGTGGCGTGGGGGGGGCGGAGAGCGCAGCTTCTTCCGCCATCGCTGACTGGCTGCAGCGCTGCTGCAGCGTGCTGTCTGTAGCAACAGAAAAGGATATAACTCTCCTGAGCCTCTATACGGATGCATGCTCAACTCGTCTTCCACACGCCGGTAATTCCTTCTTGCTGCTACTTGCTGTTTCTTGCTACTACTTGCTGCTTCTGGCTGCTTCTTGCTGTTTCTTGCTGCTTCTTGCCGCTTCTTGCTGTTTCTTGCTGTTTCTTGCTGCTCCTTGCTGCTCCTTGCTGCTTCTTGCTGTTTCTTGCTGCTTCTTGCCGCTTCTTGCTGTTTCTTGCTGCTTCTTGCTGCTTCTTGCTGCTACTTGCTGCTTCTGCGGTTGGTGGTAAACGTTGGTCTGCACTGTAACGTGCCTGTTGCTTGGCGTCAATAATGAGCTAGTACTTTTTAGGAGGCTGTATACCTATGTATATACATAGGTATACACATTTATATATATATGTATACATATTTATATTTATGTACGTGTGCGAGTGCTTTAATGTGCCGGATTTGTTGTTATTGTTGTTGCTGCTGCAGATTTGCTGCAGGCTTTCCCAGCCTTAGAGCCACGTGTGAGGATAGAGCAACGGCCACTGCAAACTGCTGCAGTCAATCCTATTTGGTGAGTCTTTATCTCTTTGTTTGTACTTCCTGCGGCTGCTGTTGGCGCTGCTCCTTGCGTCTTATGGGATCCCCACAGCGGTTCTTTCTCCCTGCTGCTGAGTGTGACCACTACGACGCTTTGTTTTTCTTTTTGCCTCTTTTGGGAGGTGCTGCGGAGGCTTTCCAAAACGTGTTGGTGTTGGTGCTGCCCCTGCGTTCTTGAAGGCAACACAAATCTCGCCGAGGGTTCAACGCGGCAGAAGACTTCCCCTCACTGCCGCCTAGCAGCAGCACCAATAGCAGCAGCAGCAGCAGCAGCAGCAGCTATGTGAGCGGGTGGAGTCGAGTGTCGGTAGAAAGGAAGACCCCCGAACCTGCTGCTGCTGCTGCTACTGCTACTGCTGCTGCTGCTGCTGCTGCTGCTGCCCGACAGTCGGCTACTGCACACATCCCACCCGCTTCGATCAGTGAGGAGCACTTCCCTTCTCTACCGCAGCAGCAGCGCAGACAAAAACAGCAGCAACAGCAGCAGCAGCAGCAGAATTGGGGCCTTAAGAAAGATGGCATTGCGTCGCAAAGTAAGATCCTGGCTCTTTACGTGGATGCCTCCTCCAATCTGCTGGCATTCTTGGTGCTTTTTTGCTACTGCTACTCCTATTACTATTACTGCTACTCCCATTGTTATTACTACTATTATTATTACTGCCACTGCTATCATTATTACTGCTACTCCTATTATTATTACTGCTACTACTTTTACTACTACTATTATTATTAGTGCTACTACTATTACTATTATTATTACTACTATTATTGCTCCTAATACTGCTGCCTAATGCCTCGCTGCTGCGAGCTTTTGAGGCGCTGCCGCAAAGTGTGCAAGGTGTTTGTTTGCACAGGACTGACTTGCAGCGCGTGTACTTTCTGCAATCCTCGGGGACGCACTCGGTGTGCTGTCTGCAATTCGCCCTTGGATATCACCGGCGTCAGCAACAGCAACAGCCTTGCCAGTCCCAACAACAGCGACAGCCGTGAGAGTAACAGCAGCAACCCAAGAGCCCTTGGCGGCAATACTCAAGGCTTTAGGAGTAGCGGCGCAAGAGAGCACCAAGAGGCGTTTCCTGCCCTGCAGGATGCAAACAATCGGAGTTCAAATCCTCAAAAAACACAGCAGCAGCAGCAGCAGCGGAAGCCCCTTACTCTCGCCGACGTCAAATCCCCCAAGACCACCAGGGGCAGCAGCAGCAGCAACACAGGTGCGTTTATAAAAATATATATATTACTCTTTATCTCTCTCTCTCTCTGTGTGTGTCTATGTGTATGTTTTCCTATCTCTGTGTGTATGTGTGTGTGTCTATGTGCATGTTTTCCTATCTCTGTGTATGTGTGTGTGTGTGTCTATGTGTATGTTTTCCTATCTCTGTGTGTATGTGTGCGTGTCTATGTGTATGTGTGTGTGTCTACGTGTATGTTTTCCTGTGTCTGTTCATACTACGCACGGAAATCGGGCAACAATACCCCACATCCACACCTCCAGCAGCGGTAGAGGAAACGAGGCATCGTAGAGGAGTTGCGCTTGTGTTTGCGGGTGCGCTGCAGTTGCATGCCTGCAGTGTACGTACGCGAACAACCCATCACGGAGGAAGTGCCAATTATGCGATTCTCCACTGCCCTAGAGGTCATCCTGTGTGCGTCTGCGAGAGCCTCTCGCCTCCTCTCCAAGCAGCAGAGAGGCCCCTGAGTGAGTGTTCTTCTTAGGGGAGAAAGTTTTCTTTCGCCAGGGTTGGTGTGTGCCTCTCGCGAGCAGACGTGTAAAAGCCTCTCTCGCTGTCGCTCAAGTGCGCCTTTTAGAAAAGGGCCACTGAATCCGCTTTAGAAGAGTTTTTATAAACTAGGCAGAGGGCTTGGTACTACTACTACCAGGCAGCACGAGGCACGTTTTGCTCGTGCCTGTTACCGATGCCCCTTCTCCGCCTTGAGGCAGCTTTTTAGCCCCTTCTGACACTGCTAGAACGGGTGCGTCAGCCGTAGCTGCATGCAGCAAATTCAGACTACGCTGGAGGGAGAGAGGAGGATATTTAGAATGCAACTCTACGCGCATGGCGGCAAGTGAGTAGACCTGTTTAAGACAAGGGACGTTTCACGACATCCATGACGGGCTCTGTAGGGAGGAGGAGCAGAGAGAGACGGGAGAAAAGAGAAAGAGGATAAAAAGGAGGGAGGGAGAGGCGTTCGCGTGGGATTTTTAGCTGCACCACCAAGAGACTTCGAGAGCGGGGGACGCCTGGTGCAAAAAAAAAAGAGAAAGAAGGCGTTTACAAAAGAAGAGAAAGGAGGCGTTTACGAAAAAAGAGCTGTGCGCGTGTGTAGCTTGGCGGGGTCTGCCTCGGCGGGAGGCAGTCAACAAGACTCGCCGCTGCGTTCGTCGTGGGAGGAGGGAGAAGCCTTGCTAGAAGAAGCGGCCGCTGTAGTCTCCGCAGCGTGGCTGCCGCGGGTGTGCACTGTCGAGAGACGAAAGTCGCCATCCATCCATCGTAGACACCAGCAGAGGGAGGCGGGCGAGAGAGAGGCAGCCCCCCAAGGTAGCACACTGCTCGCGACTTTCCCTAAGAAACTGACGCATGCGCGGCGCCTCCCTGCGCTGCCTTTGAAACTTCTGCGCGGCTGGCCGTTAGGAAGCCGCTTCCGCCGAGCCTAGCTGGGGAGGCACTTGGAAACGACTGAGCAGAATAGTTCGAAGTCTACCGAGTCTGAGGTTCCCCCTGCGGAGCGAAGCAGCTGCGAGGCTCCATCTTCGCCCAGACGCAAGCCGACATTCGAACTGAAGGCGTTTAAATCGGCGGCAGTGACACGGCCGTCCTTGTCGCTGTCTAGATACGCGAAGACTGGAGCCAGCGCTTCGCTGGGGGGGCTCGATATCTGGCGCTCAATGAAGGCTAGGAAGGAGGGAAAAGACAAAAGAGGCGCTCCCTTCGCATCGCGCACCACATCTGGAGATCCAACGCCAGCCACCTCGGCTAGCAGACAGAGGATGTCTGCCTCAGACTTGTCTTGCTTCAGCGTCTCGTTCATGAAGGCAGTCATGTCTGCGAGTGACACACGGCCGTCCTTATCCTTGTCGATGCAGCGAAAAATCGCCTCCAGTTCGACGGTGTGCGATCGCAGGCGGGAGGTCGCTGAAGAGCCCCCGTTTCCAGAGGGGCCCCCCCCCCGCGCTTTAGAGGCCCCTGTTTGAGCGCGTGAAGCGCCTCTCCCATCAGCAGGGGATTTCTTCGACGCAGTCAACACGCCGAGAGGAGCGGCTTTAGAAGCGCCGAGAGGAGCGGCTTTAGAAGCACCGAGAGGAGCGGCTTTAGAAGCGCCGAGGGGAGCGGCTTTAGAAGCGCCGAGGGGAGCGGCTTTAGAAGCGCCGAGGGGAGGGGCCGTAGGGTCCAGACGCGACATCAGGATCGGGGTGTCTCGGAGAATGCGACGAATAAGGAAGGAGGCGGCGCAAAATGCAGCAGAGTGTAGGGGGGGAGGGGTGGGATGTGTGGCGGGTGTGCCCGTGCCGAGCAGCTATGGGAAGCTGTACAGATACGCGGGAAGGGAGGCGCTGCTTCCAGGCCAGAACGATGAGCGGGGGAAAGCGGGGGAGAAGGAGGGCTGACGCGTCTTCCTAGTCTCTTTTCCTTAAAAAACGCAACGGTGGAAGTTGCCGATGAAGCCTTCTAAATCCGAGGATGCGCCTGAAGGGAGGCCCTGACTGCGGCTGGGAAGCGCCAGCAGCTGCTGCGTTCAGTTTGGCTTGACCCGGCAATACGCGCGAAGAGGCAGAAAAACTTGGATTCTAGCAACAAAACATTGAAAGAACACACACACACACCTCCCCTAGAAGCCTCGAAGAGAAATCGCCGGCCTGCCCGGAGCGCCACCGTGCTTGCCGCGCAAGGGAGGGTTCTCGGGTGTGCATGCATGCATGCAGCGTCAAGAAAATGTATTTCAGAGTCCCAACACAATACGAGTTTGCGGAGAAAACGGAGGATCTGCTGCTGCTGCGGCATTCGCTACTGCATCTGCTGCCGCTGCCGCCCCGGCTCGCTCGCCAGAGAATTCAACACGAGGCGAGAGGGGGGCTGCAAGGGGGGGTAACGGAGGGCTCTGCTGCTGCGGGTGCCGTGAAAACTGCTTCCAAAATTATTAATTAAGTCGCAGAAACAGGATGCTCGCGCTTTTTGCGGGAACGAAGCGGGGATTAGGGAGGAGCGGGGCCTAGCGCGCGTTAGGACGGGTGCGTGGTGGTGACTCTTAAGACCAGTGAAGTGCAGGCATTGCAGAAGCGACACATAGGGCCACCCTTTGGCCACGTTCACGTCTAGAGAAGTGTGCGTGTTTGTAGCAAGAGCAGGAGCTCTAGAGGACTGGGGTGGGCAGCACTTCCTGCCCGTTGGACCCCTTAAAGAAAGGCGACCGCACTTTGACTGGTTTACTCAGAAGCGTCGATACACCGAACGCGTCCCTCATCCCCTCGCTGCACACACACACACACCCACCCACAGTTGCTGCTGCACTCTGTCTCTTTCGACTGCCCACAATGGAGAGCGTTGGGAGGCCTCCCGAAGAACGCCGCGAGGAGGGACCCCCAACGGTCCTTCCTGCTGAGCGCGTAGGTTCAGCAGAAGCGACAAGAGCCATCCCCGCAGAAAACCCCACAGAGACGTGTGAGGCCTTTGTCCGCCTCGCCGGTGAGGAGGCTGCCTTGTTTGACGGCACGGTTGCAGAGGCCTTAAGGAAGTGGTACGTGTGGCAATAGGCACCGCTAATTGCGCAAGCGTCTTTTCCCCGTGGCAGATTTGCTGATAGGCAAAGTGTCCAGGGGGCGTCGCCAGGAGAAGGCGGGGGTTGGAGCCCCTCTCAAAAAAACATATACATACACACACACAAACACACACACACATACATACACACACACACACACACACACACACACACACACATACATACACACACACACACACGTGACACGTTAACACCGCAAGCCGCACAAAAAGTCCCTCAGGGAGACATATATAGCCTGCGGGCTTTCATATACGCTATATCTACATGCATATACACACATATGCAGATCTAAGGCGTGAAAGCAGGCAAAAGCGAAAGCGTCTGCGAGCCAGCCAGCCCGCGCGTTCTACGGCGCTTTAGACAGAGGCGATTCCTCGAGATGCTGTGCGCGGCGTTTTCGCCTTTCATGCTACATGTGGACACAGGGGCCTCTTTGACAGCCTCTCTGTTGGCTGCTTCTTTTGCTGTTATCCCCCCAAGGGGACTGCAGCAGCAGCTCTCATTTCTCAGCTATTCCTCTCGCCAGCGTTCCAAGCGTTCGCTGCCGAAAAGGGGCTGGAAGCATTCAGTGAGAAAGGCCACATGCATGCAGCGGCAGAAGAATCGTAAATATCCAAGGGCATAAAGCACTGCAAAAAGGCCTCGTCGCAGGGTGCTTCTGCTGTTGGGCTGTACAGGCAGCTCTTCCGCCTCAGATTCCATGCAGTGGAGCGAACTGCAGTGTACATCCACCTCAGCCGAGCCGCTCTTCGAAGCAGCACTCCGTGTCGGTGCCATCAAGGAAGACGGTAGCATATGCGGACGCCTTCCTTACTCCCGGGACGGTGCGAGTGAAATCTTCTGTCGGTTGGTTTTGAAAGGGTTACCTATGCGCTTGCCAGCAAACAAAAGGGGGGCAGGGAGCACCGATGCATGCGCTTGTCTGCAGCGACAACACGTACTGCTTGCAAATGTGCCTGCAGATATCTTTATAACGGACGCCCTAAGGGCTTCTCTGCTGCCACCAGCAGAAGACATGGAGACGCCTAGCAGCAATACCAGTGCCCTGCCCCCTGAGATCACGCAGGAGCTTTTTTACAGGATTTTTTCGGTTCTCGTCCTTGGTAAAGGCACAGCACATCCACAGGGCCCCACCCCCCCACAAAGAAAGTCTCTCGCACACGTCGTGGCTCGCCATGCCCGTTTATCCCCCAAATTTTCATCTGCAGAGAACCGTTTGACAGACATACATACACATACATACACGTCGACATACAGACACACACACACATACATACACAGACATACAGACACACATAGACTAAAAGAGCATCTCACAAAAGGAGCGAGGTTCTCAGTGTAATCGAATTGCACACCCGTTGATAGACACCGTCAGCTGCACGGCGTGTACCGGCAGCAGAAGCAAAGGGGACGCGTAACCTGCACGACTCTACCGTGATGCGCGCTTTTTTCAGGGGGGGCTTTGAACCAGCATGAAGATAACGTGAAAGTAAGTGTGTATCTCTACCGGAAAAGCACATAATAACACGCCTCCGCTGCGTCTCATACTAACGAGTGCGCGGTGGGGTGCTGCCTGTGCAGCCCTATCTGTCTGTCGCCACAGCCTTGTACAAGAAGCTCGTGAGGTAGGGGAATGAGATTCCCAGGAAGTCGTCATTCACTGGAGGCTTTTACCCCCCTAATCCCCCCTTCCCGCTACCCTTCCCCTCGACTGCCCCCACTGTTTACATCCCTGCTGCAAGAAGTTCTACCAGGGCAGCGTGTTTCTGCGTTGCTGCTTGTGCTGGCGTGCGAGCACTGCGAAATCGCGCTCACGGCAACTCCGCGTGGCAGCAGGAGTCTCTGATGAAGCTTTCGAAAACTAGGCCAAGCGCAGAGGCCACATATGTCGTAGCCGTTTTGCCGTTGCTTGCGTCATTACAGCTGCAGGAAAACGGCGACGAAGACGCTAGCCATCGACAGCAGAGCCTTTGAGGTCCTAGGAATCCGGAGAGGCAGCTGCGGAAAAGGGGACTGTCTCCCCCCACAGCGCTCTTGCAGCTTATTTAAGTCTCTTGACCCCCGATGCTGCTGTCTCCTCATCTGCGACACCCTAAACCGGTGAGGCGGCATTGGAGGGGTGCTACTGGTACAGCAGCAACAGCAGCAGCAGCAGAAGCAGTAGCATTTCCCCCTAGCAGAACTAACTGCTGCTTGCCTCAAATTCGACTGACCCTAGGTGTGCCTGGCTGTCGACCTACACTACAGCATAGCAGCCCAGTAGAACTACAGGCTGCGCTGGCACTTTATGCCCATGTAGAAGCCGCTGCAAGCGCTCCAGTTGGAGCAGCAGCTCGTTAGCAATTGCTGCGCAGCCGGCGCTTCTGTGATTGTGCGTGCAAAGGTTGGTGTGGCTGCTGCATGTGGAGGTGTCGGCATGGGCCTGAGAGAGTAGCTGTCAGAGCACCCTCCCTCCCTTCCTCCCTCCCCCTTCCAACTACTACGCTTCGCAGCGACATTTACCAACTAAACCTCGGAGCTTGAGGAGAGAACGTTCGGAGCAGCAAGCGCACGGGAAGCCGCAAGCTCCTTGATAAGGGCCGCTACGTCCTGAGAGAGGCACAGAAGAGGGCACAGGAGGGAGGCGCTAGCGCCACTGCAGCACCGACTACAGGCACGAGATGGGTGTTTCCCCCTCCCCCCTTCAGAGTGGTCAGCAACAAGGAATTCAGGAGGCCAAACATGACTTCGCAGCAACTTTGGGGTATCATCGCGAGAAAACGCTCCCCTCAAGCGGCTCCACCTATGCGCATGCATGTCTCCCAGCGTCTCTCAGCGAAGGGACGGGGGGCTGGCAGAGGATAACACTTGCACATGGAGGAGGGAATAAGCAGGCACGCGGAAAGAGGCCATCATGAGGTCTAAAGGATTTTCTGTTGCTGCCTCCGGCGGAAGGCGTATTTACCTGGTTTGGCTCTTGCGAAGAACGTAAGTCTCGGATAGTCTGCCGCACCAGCCGCAGCAGCAGCCTCGCTACAGCATGCACGCCTTTTTCACGCGTAAAGGCAGGGTCAAGAGCAGTCGCCACAACGATAGGCAGGAGTGCAGGTGGAGTCTGCAGCCTTGAGCCCACCTGGGCAGTCTTCGGAAAGAACGTCTCGCCAGCAGCATCCAGCAGTGCCGCTTCGTTTCTCTCAATAAGGGGGCCCCCTACCGCCAGGTGCTGGGGCCCCATGGGTGCTCCCGATCCTGCGGTAGCTGCTGCTCTCGCATCCTGCACCTTCTGAGTCTGCTCTACCTGAAGCAACATCAGAAACAGCCGCGATGCCGCGTGCAGTGGCGGCAGATTCGCAAGACTAGAAAGAGACAGCAAGCGCAAGTCCAGCTGCTAAAAGCTTCTGCACGCAGGAAACAAAAGGCGACGAAGTGCAGAGCAGTCTCTCTCTATGTATATATATATATATATATCTCTGTCTCTGTTTCTCTCTGTCTTTATCTCTATCTCTCTCTCTCTATCTCTATCTCTCTATCTATTTATCTCTCTGTCTAGCACAGAAAGAAGCAGCTATGAGGCACCCTGCGCTTGGGTGGAGCAAACGCAGACGCGATCTCCCCCCCTTTAGCAGCTGCTGCAACTTTGCAATGAAGTACCCCCTCGCAGCAGCCGCAGCACATGCAGCACCTAGTTACATCTTTCTCACGCTACGGGAAAGGAGGGTAGAGACGCCTCCCTTGAGAGAAGCGTCTCCTTCACAGGGAACGAGCAGCAGGAGATGCGAAGAGGCGCGATAATGCGCTGCAGGCAGAGAGGACGCGCAAACGCAACAACGAGGGAGGCAACTCTCTTCCTCGTACAGGTACTGTCACCGTGTATTACACGCGCAAAAGAACCTCCTTTTAGCTGCTCCTTTTAGACGATCCTGTCGAGATTCAGAGAGAGAGAGGGAGAGAGAGAGACAATGAGATGGCGATATTGTACATGTGGTCGGCGCAAAAGCGACAGCACTTCAAACGTGCAGCCCACCACTTTGAAAAGCCCACCATTAGTAGCCGTTAGTGTCACTTCAAGACGATGTGAAAAGAAGCAAAGAGGGCGCACAGCTTCATCCACGGCAACCTCTGAACTCCACATATACATATATATATACATACATATATATATGTATATATACGCCAACACAGCAGCAGCAGCACAACCTTAAAATTGCAGTAAACACCCTAAATTCTAGGCTTCTTCCTACCAGCCTGCGGGGTGAGCACAAAGAAGGTGCGTCCCGAAGCGAAGAAAAAACAAAGTTTTCCCCTCTCTCCCCGCTACCCCTAACCACCAAACCACCAAACCAACAAGAGACTCCCCCCGCCTTCCCCCTCGTCTGCCCCCCGTAGCATCTCCTACTCCTTGCGCAACTCAAGGGGCCCCTTCAAGCGTCTCCCGAACCTAAAATAACACACACCTTTGAGAAGCAGGAAGGCAGCAGCAAAGCCATCGTGATTCTGAAGCGGCCATACATACACCGATGATACGCCGCTGCCGTAATGCCTGTGGAGGACAGAGATACATACGTACATGTGTAGAAATACAATGACATAGATGTATACATATATATATATATATAAATACACGCACATACACACATGTATAAAGTTACACATACAAACATACATGTATGCATACATGTAAATAGATGTAATTACACGTACATAAACATACATACATATATATATACACACAAACACACACACACATAAACACATAAACACACACACATAAACACACACACACATAAACACACATACACACACACACACATAAACACACACACATACACACATACACACACACACATACACACACATAAACACATACACACACATAAACACATAAACACACACATAAACACACACATAAACACACACCTAAGCACACAGACGGCATGCCCCCCCCTTGTATCTCTGAAATTTGGAGACTGAATGCGTGTGGCGCAATAGCTCTTCACACTTCCTGCTCTGTGGAGGCTGCTCACGCGTCTCTGTAAGCGTCGTAAGCCGCATTGAACTGCGCCTCTAGCTGGCGCAAGTGAGGAGCCCTGCAGACATGCAGCCCGTTCCCGCAGCAAGCGGCGTTTGGCGAAGGGGGAGTTTCAAATAGTCACGTGCACTGCGAGACTTTTCACTACGACAGTGAGCAGCGCTCTCCCCCCCCTCCCCCCGCCGCCAGGCAGTGCGGGGGAGGGGGAGGGCGGCTGCTCACTGTCGTTCCCCCGTCAGGTTGACTGCACGCGCAAGCGAAAAACCGCCTTCCTGGGATGATGCTTCGAGAGATCAGGCAGTTGAATACCTCCCTCCTTCAAAGAGGGAGGCACGCAATTGTTGCCTGATCTCTCGAGCACCAGCCCCTCGCTCTTCAGGCACGCAGCAGCCAGCCCGCTTAGCTAGCCGTGCAGCTCGACTGGCTAGCTGGTTGCGACTGCGCTCTCGACTGCCCAGCTCACGGCTTCGCAGCCTCGGGTATGGGCGGAAGCCACGCATCTGTCCAAGGACTGCGAAAGCTAGCTTTCAGCTTGTTGAACGGCGTCGCGATGAAATACTTTCCCACCTGAGAGAGGCAGGCTGCTCGCACAGCGAGGCATTCTCATCAGGAACCACCCCCAGGAGGCTTGGCGCACTTGAAGCCGCGGGGTGCACACAGCTGCGGGGGGGGAGGGGAGATGAATCGGTGCATGCATGCATGCGTGCATGCAGAGCGGCAAAGGGCAGCGGAGGCTTATTATGCACACCTCCGGATCAATGATCAGCTCCGGCAAACCCTGATACTTCTCCTTGAGCAGATTCTCGACTGCAGGGCAGAGAGCCGCTGCAAGAAGGAACAGCACACAACTCATCAAGACAGAGATTCTTTTTTTCTCCGGATGAAGCCCTCTAAGAACGCATGCCCGTCGCTAAAAGCTCTACGCATATGCGCGTCCTGTGCGCCTTTTCCTGCACAAAATAGACGTGTGTCAGTCCTGTGTTGCCAAGAAACAGCGCGGCTAATCAACTTTCTAGCCAACTGTATGGCGCAGTAGTGGGCAATCAACACTGTGCTGCTGCTGGTTTTGATACTGCTGCTGATGAAGCAAATGGTGGTGTCGGTGCTGATGTTAAGGATGCAAATGCTGATGCTCATGCTGATGTTAAGGATGCAAGTGCTGATGCTCATGCTGATGTTAAAGATGCAAATGCTGATGCTCATGCTGATGTTAAAGATGCAAATGCTGATGCTGCTACTTCTACTCTTGCTACTACTACTGTTGAAGATGATGCTGCAAGCGCTCAATTGCCATGTGGGTGTTGAGATGGAGCCCATGCATGTCTCCCGCGGCTAATGGCGCTGAGGTTTACTTGCGCCTCCCGATGGTGCGAGAGATGCTGTCGGTGCTGCTGATGAAACGGATGCGGGCAATGTGCTCCCGTCGCTGCTGCTGCATTCGCTGCTGGAGTTGCTGTGGCTGTTGCGGCTGCTGCTGCCCTAGACACGCTGCATCTCCGGCTGTTGAACCTGCAGCAATCGCTATGTGGCGCCGCACGTTTCGCGGGAGGCAGCACACACAGTGCAACCCCTTAATAAGGCGTGTTATTTCTCAAAGATTTACGGCTCAAGAGCCTCGGCTCTCTTACTGGCGTGCGCAATGCTTTCGTTGATTCTCGAGAGCGGACTTGTGCGTACCAGGCAGGCGGCAAGGTCTGCCGCTTCTTTCTGCTGCCCTGAATAGCCGCTCATCTCCCTTAGGATTAGGCAGAAAGCGGAGTTTTTAATGTTGCGAAGTGTGCGTACACCTCCCTGCCGAGCGTAACTTGCCGATTGACACGACAGCCAAGAGACTTTCCGGAGGCAGCGCATGCGCAACACGGCTAGAAAAACGCATGCCTTCAGTCTTTCGGTCAAGCAATTCGTCCGATTGAAGCCATTTAAAACGTTTACATGCATATATTCACGCACACAATGGGCCTATGTAGGGCTGGAAGCGCATCTTGCCCCGAGGCGAGAAGGCATGTGTGCCCTCGAGCAGAAGCGCCGCTCGCCATTCGGCAGCGCTCGTCTACTGCACTGCGAGACACCGGTGCCTGCAATCATTGAAACGCATGAACAAAACTGCTGCTTTCAGTGTTTTGTATCTCCATTTCAGTGCCTGAATTCCACAGTCTCGAGTTTCCTCGAGGATACCGCTGCCGCATACGTGCAGAGAGAGAGGGACCTCCTCAACACCCCTCACAGGACAGAAGTGCTTCGCCGCGTCAGTGGTATCTTCTGGAAAAAGCTGCACAACACGTAGACAGCGTCCCTATGCGAGGACACCCATTCTCTTAGTTCCTTTCTGCGTAGGCTCGTGGACGTGAAAACAGACACAGCTGCCTACGTACGGGTAGTAGCAGATTTTACGTTGCACGCTGACTGCGCAGTGAGGAACGCCACTGAATGCGCGCATTCGCAAGCACACAGAGGCAACTAGATGCCACGCCACCCTCTCGATAGAAGGATCTCCATCTAAATTTGACGAGCTGGGGTAGTTGTACAGTGAGCCGCATGCGCATACGCATCTGGATACGTCGCATGTAGAATGCAGTTCCTGCTGAAGGGAAAGTGCCTTCGGGGGAATCGTGCTCTGTACGATCAATCGACGAGGGGGGGCGCGTTGCGTTAAAAAATGCACCAAAGTGGAAGGGCCGTCGCGTCGCACACACGAAGGAAAGCGTCCTTGTGAGCGAGAATGCGGGTAAAAGGAGGCAGCAAAGGGTAGGATGACTAATAGAAAGTTTACTCCTGCACTGTAGGGAAGGCAGAGGGGCCCCCGGGGGCCAGGGGACTCATCAGCGCCCAACGGGAGGGTGTCTGCTGGTTACCACGAATCACAGCCATCTGAAGCGCAGTGCACTGCGCAAAAAGCCGCTTTTTTTTGCCTTCTCGCAATCTTGTTGCACGTCCAGTCTTGATGCAATAATCTGAAGCGTCTTGAAACCAGCACCTAGCTCGCTCTCTTGCACAACCCACTCTGACCTCGCCGGATGCTCATTTACCCACGGGTACCTTCAGCAGCAGCCTCTGCAGCATGTCTCATTGTGGAGGCATTGATCCCCCGGTACTTGTTTTTGGCGATTGTGAAGGCCTTTTTGAGTAGATGAAGCCGTGGCAAGAGATGAAAACCACTTATGCCCCGCCGCTGCTGTACGGAGGCGTGCGTTCAGCTCCGATTTTGCACCGTTACAAGTGTGCAGCACTGCGTGCGTCTACGGTTCCAGCTCTCGAGATCTCGTAAAAATTGGTATTGCGGAGAAAGAAACATGGCTTTATGACGACAATAGGATTTCTGTCCAAACGCACCTTCTACCAAAATACTGATTTTCAAGGATGCTCCTGGCAGCTGTCCGAAAAGATGCTTTCGGGCAGCCGTAAAGTTCCTGCTTTTGACGCTTAATGTGTGCATAGATCTATGATGACATATCTAGATGAAAAGAGACAGATAATGTGTGTAGACACATAGATACGTAGCATACATAGATACATAGTATATATAGATACATAGTATGTATAAGTACACACATATGTTGATTTATGCGCCCATAAGCCAAAAAAAATTAGAGGCCTTCAGTTAAAGGTCCGTGTTTATGTCGGTCCAGCGGCGGTGGAGAGGCAATGTGTGTGTTTCCTAGAGGCCTTTGAACAAAGGCCTCTAGGCACACGCGCGACAAAGCAGTTTCTGTTTGGAGTACAGTTTCTGGAAGGTGTTTGCACCTGCCCTTTGGAGGGGCTTTATTCAAAGGTTTATCTCCAACAGAGGGCCTTCTTTTGGATCTCGTCGAGAGGCTCAAGAGGCCTTTCCCGCGAGGGGTAGGCTTCCCCAGAGCCTGTGCAAGTTCCTCGGTGGCGCTGTAGTTGCTGCAGCAGATCGTCCGGCGAACTGAGCTCGACGGATCGGATGCGCTGCTTCGTGCTTTCGGGGGGCCCCCTGCAGCGACAGGCTGGAAATTCTCTTCTCAGGAGATGCGGAGGGTCCCCGTGGGCAGCATCGTGGCAGCAGCACAGAGCGGGGAAGGGCGCTCTACGAGGAACTGGTACTGCTAGGTGAGTTTTGCGGTGCCGCAGGTGCATGCCGGAGACAGGGGGGTGCTCGAGGTGGTCGTGGTCGCGCAGGCCCCTATCACAGGAGGGGCCCCTTGCGCCACAGGCGGGGGGGGGGGCCCCTTATCGAGAGTCTTGGAAGCCACACTGCACTCACTAGAGCGTGCGCGTGGGGAGGTGTGCGGCACTAGACGTGGCAGCGGCTGGAACTGCGCCAGCGAAAGCCGCGGTAGAGTGACGCTGCTGCAGCTGCTAGTTCTCCGCATGCCTGCAGAAGAAGCTGCTCTGCTAAGAGGCTTCGAGGGGCAGCGGCACTCCCCGGTTTGGGCTGAGCGGCACGGCGCTCCCGAAAGGAGCTCTCTCCTGGTAGCTGCCGTGTCTGCTTGGTGGCTCTCGAGCCTGCTGCGTCTCTCGCCAAGTCGTTTCGCGGAGGCGGGAGTCGCAGCCGTTAGCACTACAGAACTAATGCCGCAACACCCTCCCTGGAGAAGGGGGGGCAGCAGCAGCTGCTGCTGCTGCTGCTCCTGTATCGCTGCCTCGCAGCCCTGCACGTCTGCCGCCCCCGTGTTGCAGGGGATGGTCTCTACAGAGGGGGGCCCCCCTCTGTAGAGACAGCCCCCCTGAGGCCCCTTGGAGGCGTGGAGACAGGGAGACGGCGCGCACGGCTCTCCCCAGGCTGCGTGGGGAGGCGCGAAGCGCCCTTCCGGCGGTTCGCAGCCGTTCAGAAGGCGCATGCCCTCCAGCTGCTGCTGCTGCATGCAGCCGAAGGGTCGGCAAGGCGGCGAGGCGCAAGAGACTGCCAAGGAGGGGTAGCGAAGACTCTCTGCAGCAGCTGGACTTGCAGGTGCGCGCACTGCTGCTGGAGGCTGCGGCAGCTCGAAGGAGCCTTCGACGGCGATGCAGCGGCTGCAGGGTGAGGGCAGCTTGGTGCTGGTGTTGCTGCTTCGCGTGCTGACGAAGCAGCCGCTGGGGGGGGAGGAGCTGCATTCGCCTCCTTCTCCGGAGGCAGCTTCAGGAGGCGGCTCTTGGAAGCCGACGCAGGCAAGCCTGTGGGGCAGTCTCAGAGGGCGGAAGGGCCCTTGCTGTGGCTGCCGCTGGGTAGTCGCGCGAGCAGGCACACGGCGAGCCGCCGCTGCTGCGGCAACTGCAGCGGCTGCTGCTGCCTCTGCGGCAGCAGCCGCTGCGGCTGTCTCTGCGGCGGCAGCTGCTGCCGCCGCAGAGACAGCTGGCTTGGAGGGCGCTTGCGAGGGGGTTCCCAGATCTGCGCGCCGTTGCTGCTCTCGCAAAAGGCCTCTCGCCAAGATCTCGTCTGCCGCCTTGTACAAGGCGTCTAGCCACCTTGAGACGCAAATGCAGCCAGTTATTCCCACGAAATGAGCGCCTTATTCCCCATAAAGGCCCTAAGCGGATACCCCTCTCTCCACTCGTGTGCGACTCCCCACGCAGACACCTCCCCCAGTCGCGCAGAGCTGACCTGATGAATTGCTTCGGAGTAGCGATGTGCTCCAGCAGCCAAGGGTGAACCAGCAGCTCTTTAGCCGACTTCCGCTTCCTAGGGCAGACGCGAAGACACGCGAAGAGGAAGCTCCTGAGCTCAGGGGTGTAGACGCCGCGCAGTCGCTGCTGGAGAGAGGCAGCAACTGCCGCGTCTGCAACGTCACAGGGGGTTCCACCCTTGAAGGGGTGAGACAGCGTAGCAAGCTCTAGAAGAGCAACCCCCAGACTCCACACATCCCCCTTGTAAGACACGTCTTCCGCCGCCGCGACTGCCGCTGTGGAGTGAGGTCTCCCTCCTCCCGAGGAGCTCTTGCTGCCCTCTGAGGAGGGCGAAGAAAGCGCAATCGTCTCCGCATTGAAGAGGCGCTCTGGGCTCCTGCGCATGCAACGACAGCGTCGAATGTGGGCAAGGAAGCTCCACACGGAAGGGGAAGTGACTGCTGCAGCAACGCCGGCAGAAAGGATCCAGGCAGCAGCAAGGGAGGCATGCAGGGAGGCATGCAGGAGCTCTGCGCCAAGGCACCAGACTTTTCGCAGAAGCAGAAAAAGCAGCATGCACAGCTCTTCACAAAACGCACATGTAAATTTCGGTTCCGACGTATGTCAGAGGATCGTCCATATCCCCAGTAAGCGCACGGCTAACCCCCAAGTCTGCGAGCTTCACATAGCCTGCAAGGCAAATGTTTTGGCAAGAAAGAGAAATAAACAGAGAAATAAACAGGCAGAGAAAGAGATTTTTAAAGTACGAAGAAAATAAATAATTCAACATTCATGGAAAGCACTGTATGTTTACTAAAAGGCATTCAAAAGTATGTATATATGTATTTATTGTTCTAGAAATTTTGAACGTAAAGTGAGACGAAAATAAAAGCATTGATAGATTCAATATGCGAATAAAGCCGTGGAGCTAGTAGACGAAAAATGTATACGTTAAGGGATTTTCAGAAGGAGGGTAATGAAGGGATGCCGTTTTGGGGGCATGCACCAAAAGACGCCAACAGAGGGGCAGGCACAGGGACGAAGAGGCTCCCCTTCCTCCACCCAAAAGACGCTACATCAGACGTTCAGCAAACGCTCTGGGAGAGAGAGCAATTGGGAGGTGTTTCAAAGCAGGAGGAGGAGCAGGAGCACGTCGAGCCTTGAGGATCAGGCACTCATGGGCAGACTGCGTTTTTTAAGGCTTCAAGTGGGGAGAGGCATGTCTGGAGTGGATATACATGCGCATTCATGCGCAACTTACCTTGATCGCTGATGAGTATATTCTGTGGCTTTATGTCTCTGTGAACAACTCGCTGCTCGTGAAGAAACGACAGTCCGTCTAGTGCCTGCTCGCACATGCGCGTGGTGATCTCAAGTTTCGCGTTGAGATCGGCAGTACCGACGTCGTGGCGTTTGTTGGCAAAAAGTCGCGAGAAAGAGGCTTTCTGATGGCACGCTAGAGCCCGAGTGGCCCTCCCCTATACAGCTGGAAAATGCCTTTTGGCTAGCTGCGTGGATAGGGTGTTTTTGAATTCTCGCTGTATCTATGTGTCTCTGCCTCCGAGTCTGTATCTCTGTGTCGATCTGTTTGTGCGGATCGCTCGCTTGCTCTGCGCGGGCGGCCTAGGGAGACACTCGGGAGAAGGGGGTGTTGTGGGGGGATGGATGCGCTCCGCTAGCAAGTTGGCAAGAGGGTTGTTGTTGCGCACAGACACTGCAGCCCCCTCCTGGAAAGTGAGAAGCGAAGCGCTCACCTGAAAGGCGATGAGCTTCAGGAAGCATTCGGGGATGCCGGCATGCTGCAGCTTTCGCCTTCGGGGGGGGGAGGGCTTGCCTGGGGGAACCTCCGTCTTGTGAGGAAGTGGATTTCTGTGCGTCAAGCGGGTGCAAGTTGCTGAGCCTTCGTCTTCTTTCCCGTGATGGGGAGGATGGAGCTTGTCTCGCGCTTGCATGCGCTCAGCTTGCATGCGCTTGTTCGCGCTGCTGCTCTCGCTCCGTCTGCTCCAGTGGAGGTATCGCGAGGCTCCCGTCGCAGCGCCTCTCTGCAGCAGCAGCAGATGCTGCTGCTGCTGCCTCTGCTGCCCCTTAGTTGCAGCTGATGCAGCGGCAACGACCTTGGCAGCGCGAAGCAGATCGCCGAGCGAACCTCTTTCCATGAACTCAAACACGAGGTGGACGCAACCCCCCCTCCGCGAGAGCCACCGATAGGCCCCCAGGAAAGGCACTATGAATGTAGGCAGCGGCGCCGCTGCTGCTGTCACTGCTGCTGCCGTCAGTGTCGTCGCTGCTGTCGACTCTGCACTTGTGAGTGCGCGAGGAGGTGCTGCAGCATGCGCACGAGCTGTGGCACCCTCCCCGTCACCAGCCTCGCTGGCTTTATCGACCGCTGGCAGCGCTGCGCCTGCTGCTGTCACTGCTGCTGCCGATGCTTGCGGCGGGGGGTGCCCTTGCCAGTGCGCTGACAGAGACATCGCCTGTAGTCAGCTCGCGCATCGTCGGCATACCGGAGTGTGAAATTAATCCTTAATTCCATCATACAGGAAACATGGGACGGGTAACAGGCCGCAAAACGCTCGCGTGCGTGCTGCAGTCTTATTCAGGAGATGGCTTTATATATATATATATATTTATATTTATATTTATATTTATGCATATTTATATTTATTTATATTAAAATTAATATTTATATTGATATGGAGCTTCGTTTCGCCACACTTACCGTGACTTCTGCAGCAAGTTGGTATCTGTTGGTCTTTGTGGCTTCATCGAGGTGGCTATACACCCCAAAGCATCCAACGTGAATCTCCTGCGGCATCCGTTCAAAACACGGGGAGTCGCAGATGCGCGTGCTCTGTGGCTATTTCTAAGCCGATGGCTGTAAGGATCTAAGCCGTGAGGCTCCCTCCTCCCTCGCTTTAAAAGCCGTTTCCCTCCTTCCCTCGTGTCTGCCTCCCTCCACGCAGACTTCGACAGACACAGCCCTTTGCTCCCCCGCGAAGCCACCCCCTCAAGTGCACTCCCGCTGTGCGCCAGCTGTCTCGCTGCAGCAGCCTGGAGCTCGCCAAGCAGCCCAGCGAGTCTGAAGGAGGGGCAGTGCATACCTTGATAGCGACAATCAGTCTTGAGGGAATGTGCGTAACTGCAAAGACGAGTGCGCTGCGACCCCTCCCCACCAGCTCCGCCTCTTCCCACCTGAAGTCTCCGTGTTTCAAGTCGGCTGCCGTTCCCGCCGCTGTTGGCGTTGCAGATGCTGTTGCTCCTCCCTCCAAGTCTTTGGTGACGCTCGCGCTGTCGATGACGACCAGTCCGTCCTCCTCGCTAGACGCAGAGGAGGACGGCGCACGTGGCGCAGTGTAGATCCTCCGCTGTGTGGTCTCGCCCTCTGCTTCCTGCGACTCGCGGCGAGCTGCTGCATGCTGCTGCTGCCGCTGCGGAAGCGGGAAGGGGAGGGGAAGTGGGGGTGTCTGTTTCTTGGGGTGTCTTAGGGGCCTCAGGGGGGGCCCCCCCCCGTCGATTCTCAAGAGCCCTTCCACGCCTAAGCCAAGACGGTATGCAGAACGCTTGAATCTCTGGTGAGCTGAGCGTCGGGGAGGCGGCAAGTCACGGGAGGGGTTGCGTGGCTCAGGGCGAGGCTGCCTTCCGTAAGGCGAGTCGTCGGCAGACGCGCGTCGAAGCTGCAGCGCGGCACTCCTCGCTAGACCGCCTCTCCGGCGGCTTTCTCCCTCCTGCTCGTCCTCTCCGCCGGAAGACGATGCAGCTGCTGCAGCCGCAGACGCTGCCGACGTCGCGTTCCCCGCTGGAAGCGGCAGGTGCAGAGGGAGCCTCTCTTTGCGCTCGGCTGGCAGACGCGACTCGACGGGCAGCTTTTCTGCCTTTAGCGGCTGAAAGCGTGGTGCCCCCTGCGTGCTTGCGGAGTCTAAAGACGACAAAGAAGACTTTGGAGGCTCTTGCGTGGAGGCAGAAGCAACAGCAGCAGCAGCAGCAGCAGCAGCACGCGCCGACGGGCAGGCAGACGCGTCACACTTGATTCCCCCTGCAGAGTTTGGCCTCCCCGCTGCGCTCTGCAGGTGGGACGGAGAAACAGACTCTTCCCTGCTGCAGCAGCTGCTGCTGCTGTGCTGCTGCTGCTCCTCGCTGCTGCTGCTGCTGCTGGGGCAGCGCAAAGCAGGGAGCTGCAGCCGCCGCATCGTGCTTGGGCTGCAGGCACAGCAGCAGCAGCTGGTGTACTCACTGCCGCTGCACTTGCTGCCGACTATGGCTGCTGCTGCGCGCTCCTAAAGCTCTTGCTGCAGCGGCACACTCCACAGGCATCAGCCGCCGGTGTGTCGGCTCTGATGCCTCTGCGCTTGGCAGTGAGTTTTGAGGGGGCTCTGTCGGCAGCGGTCCTGGCCCTCAGACGATGTTGAAAAACAATGAACATGCACGAAAAGCCAAGGAAATATCAAATGCAGTCGATTTTCACGCACCAGCAAAGCAAAGCTCACGGCTGTAGCATCATCAGAACCAGCAACTCGCCACCGCTCTCCCCCGTGGGATTCAGTGCAACGCGGGGCGAATAAACCCCCATCTTCTTACCCGTGCCCAGACATTTGTGATAAAAACAAAGCAGTAAAGCAGGTGCGCGATATAAGCGTGCCAGAGAGCAGTGACAGACAGAAAAGACACGGGGGAGTGCTCGCGAGGGGCCCCCCAGGCCGCCCTGTACGTACAGTGCGCCGACAGCGCGCCGCGGGCCCCTGTACCGACAGGGGGCCCCCCTTCCCGTGCAGGTGGGGTCCCCCCCGCCGGATAATGGTCCCCACATCAAAGTGCGATTTTCTGCGGACATGTTGCGTAGAATTTTCCCTTTCTTTTGTGGATTTCGTTTTGGTGCTGCTGCTGTTGCTGCTGCTGCTGCTTCGGTTTGGAGTGTACCGGGCACTGCGGGTGGTCGTGCCGCCGCTCCTTCTGCTGCTGGAAATACGTTCTCCAGCGCACTTTCTGCCCCCTATGGGGCGAAGGTGAGCCAAGAAGGCTATGTACCCCGCCGCATCCCTGGCGAGGCTCCCTCCAAGGAGACTTTTTATGACGCCAGTTGAGGGCGTGCTGCGGCGCGGAGCGGCAGCAGCAGGGCCCCTCCTGGGGCCCCTGCTGCTGCCGCTCCGCAGACTGCGGCTGTCTGCGGGGACTGTTGCCTGCTGCGACATCCCACCGTCGTCGCAGCGGCAGGGGGCAGGAAGTTCGCTGCCTCGTTATGCCTCGCAGAATCGCCTTTTTTCGCCTCACCTGCTGCCGCTGGCGGGCAGCTCCAGCAGACTCTCAAAGCCGGCTGCTGCTGCAGGCAGCAGCACGTTGCCGAGGGCCCCCTCCCCCCGCTCGACTGCTGCTACTTCTGCTGCTACTTCTGCTGCTGCTTCTGCTGCTGCTTCTGCTGCCACTGCTGCTGCTGCTTCTGCTGCACTTCGCCGCATGCGCGGCTCTCTCGCAGCAGCGGCTGAGGAGCTGCAGGGGTGCCCCTTTCCGCGCTGCTTCTCGACAGTCCCCAGAAGACATGCGTTCCCACCGCTTTTCGCCGTTCGGCAAGCGGACTGCCCTTCAGCCCGTGCTGCCAGCGGATCTGACACTCACTCAGCTCGAACCTCTCCCCCCCCGAAGTATTCGGCACTCCGCTTTTCCGCCAGAGTTGCGGTGCCTTCCCAGCTGCGGCTCTCCCCGCGCATCCCCACACCTCCAGAAAACGCACGAGGCCCCCTGGGGGGGCCCCCCCCCCCGTCAGGCGACACCCCGCCGCTCCCGCATTTACCTCCCTGGATGGCTCCGCGGAAGACTTCCGAAGAGGCTGCTGCCGCTCGCGACGTGGCGAGGGCAGCTTTCTACTGCTGCTGCCTCTTCTTCGGACTGTGCAGCGTCGCCTTCGCCTTCGTGCCTCTCTACGCAGCATTCTGCAATCAGACAGGCTACGGAGGTGCTGTGGGCACGAGCTCACACCGAGCAGACGACACGCCGATCCCCTCGAGGCAGCGCAACAAGACCAACAAAACAGACAAAGCGGGTGAGGCAACGCTGGCGCGCGGCTTGATAATGATGTATGTTTGTGTATGTATATGCATATGTGTATTTAGATATACATATATGTATATATACATATATATGTATACATGTATATGTATTCGGATATATATATGTATATATATATATGTATATCTATATGTATTTAGATACATATGTATATACATATATGTATATATATATATATATGTATGTATATGTATTTAGATATACATACATGTATATCTATTTGTATTTAGATGTATATGTGTATACATATGTATATGTATTCAGATATATATATATGTATATGTATTTAGATGTATATGTGTATACATATGTATATGTATTCAGATATATATATATGTATATGTATTTAGATATATATATATGTATTTAGATATGTATGTGTATATATATGTATGTGTATACACATACACATACCGCACGCAGCTCAAGTAGAAGAGAGACAGACAAGCGTGTGAGAGGAGGTCAGTCCTGACTGACCTCCTCTCACACGCTTGTCTGTCTCTTTGTCTCTCTCTCACGGGTAGTCTCTTGCCGTATGTCTTGCGCTCCCGCTGAACGGAAAAGAAAAAAGTGATGACTTTTTTTTGTTACTAAAGAACACACGACGCACAAGGCAAAGCCGCCCTACTCCTTTGCCGGCTTCGCAAAAAAGGCCTTCGCCCCTACTGAGTGTTATTGCTGTTATTGTTATTGTTATTGTTATGGTTGTTGTAATTTTTATCGTTGTTATTGTTCTTGTTCTGGTTGTTATTTTTATCGTTGTTATTGTTATGGTTGTTGTTGTTGTTATTGTTGTCATTGTTCTTGTTCTGGTTGTTATTTTTATCGTTGTTATTGTTATGGTTGTTGTTATTTTTATCGTTGTTATTGTTATGGTTGTTGTTATTTTTATCGTTGTTATTGTCATGGTTGTTGCTATTTTTATCGTTGTTATTGTTCTTGTTCTGGTTGTTATTTTTATCGTTGTTATTGTTCTTGTTCTGGTTGTTATTTTTATCGTTGTTATTGTTATGGTTGTTGTTATTGTTATTGTTGTTATTGTTATGGTTGTTGTTATTTTTTTCGTTGTTATTGTTATTGTTGTTGATGACAGTGTGCCAGCCGTTTTACTACAGGCTTCCTCTCCCTCTGCTGCCTTGTGATTCACAGAAATTCTTACCATCGACTTTGCCTCCCACTGCAACCTGCCTTGGACCTTCCAGCCCCTGCAGCAGCAAATCAAAGTTGCACCAGGGGAATCTGCGCTAGCCTTTTATCGCGCCAAGAATCTCACCGATAAACCGATTATTGGTATGCAAGAGCACTGCTTTGCGCACTCTTCCCTCCAGCCCTCCTATTCCCAACTGCGCCGCTACAAATACGATCCAGCGAGTAACGCCGATCCTTCACCAGCGCTAGACAAGGAGACAAGCTTTGCCCTTCCTTAGAGAGAGAGAGACAGAGAGTTAGAGAGAGACAGAGAGTCAGAGAGAGACAGAGAGTTAGAGAGAGACAGAGAGTTAGAGAGAGACAGAGAGTTAGAGAGAGACAGAGAGTCAGAGAGAGACAGAGAGTCAGAGAGAGACAGAGAGTTCGAGAGAGACAGAGAGTTCGAGAGACAGAGTTATAGAGGGAGAGAGATAGAAAATTAGATAGACTCATGCAAATATATACACATATGCACAGTCACACGTACAAGTACATACAGACATGGCTGCTTCTGTCGTATGTATGTATACATCTCTCTCTGTTATTCTGTGGTCCTTACCTCCGCCACCTTCCTTTCAGGCATGTCGGTTTATCACGTCATACCCGCTGAGGCTGGACAGTATTTCAACAAGATACAGTGCTTCTGCTTTGAAGAGCAGCTTCTTAGCCCGCGTTCGCCATGAGCACTTTCCTAGACACCCCAAAGCTTTTAATACCCCTCCTCCTCTCCCGTGAACACCTCATGGTCACACACCTGTCTCTTCCTGCTAGTCGCTGTCTCTTCCTGACTGGCTCTTTGTGTGTGGGCTTGTTCCATTTTGTGTATCTGTCTCTCTCTCTCTGTGTATGTGTATGGGTATGTCTCTCTCTCTTTGTCTCACACATGTGTGCAAGTCTGCGCGAGGGCCATGTTGCGTCCGTCTGTTGGATGTGTTTTTTTGTCTGCGTGTCTGCTTGCCTGCTTTTCCTTCTTCTGATCGGCTATATCTGCTGGAGCGTTCCTCTCTCTAGAGAGCCTCTTGTCTGTGCCGTCTTCGATCGAGTCTGTCTTTGGGGGGGCGTTTGGATGCTCATGCTAGGAAGCGTTCACCTCGATGTATCCCTATCCTCTGATCCGCATGCGCGCGCATTTGTATGGAGTAGTTTTCTCTCCCTCTGTGTCTTTCTCTCTCTACCTATCTATCCGTCCATCTCTATCTATCTAGCTCCCTCTGTGTCTTTCTCCCTCTACCTATCTATCCGTCCATCTCTATCTAGCTCCCTCTGTGTCTTTCTCCCTCTACCTGTCTATCCATCTATCTCTATCTATCTAGCTCTCTCTGTGTCTTTCTCCCTCTACCTATCTATCCGTCCATCTCTATCTAGCTCCCTCTGTGTCTTTCTCCCTCTACCTATCTACCCATCTATCTCTATCTATCTAGCTCTCTCTGTGTCTTTCTCCCTCTACCTATCTATCCGTCCATCTCTATCTAGCTCTCTCTGTGTCTTTCTCCCTCTACCTATCTATCCATCTATCTCTATCTAGCTCTCTCTGTGTCTTTCTCCCTCTACCTATCTATCCGTCCATCTCTATCTACCCCTATCTCTCTCGGTGTGTGTGTATGCGTTTCTGTGTGCATGGCAGATGAGGAAGTTGACATGCCTGTCTTTTTCTTCATTGATCCTGCAATCCTAGAAGATCCACGACTCGGTGAGTGCGACACAAGCATGCATGCATCCAGCGGTTTCGATCTTGTTCCCCCTCCAGCCTCTATGCCTTTCTCTCTCGGCACATTCAAGCTGCCACTTCTACCCTCCAAAAGATGTCGCAGTCGCTGCCGCGTGGCGTGTGTCTGCGTGGACTCTTGCACCGTCCCTCCCTCCCTTCCGCACAGCCAGCAGCAGCAGCAACAACAACCCCCCCTTTGAACGCATGCCATTCAGTTGTTGTCGCTGCAGTGATGTTGTTGTTGCGGCGACTGCAGAGCAAATGCGGCATATAACGCTCTCCTACATTTTCTTCGAGTCTGCCTCGGAGGTACCTGATGAGTATAAAGATCTCGCGATCGGTAAGTACGCATGCATTTTGTGTGGTCCCCTGATTTTTGTGTTGCTGTGTGCCTTGCTGCCTCCCCTTGCACTCGCCCTTTGCTGCTTAAGATTGCGATGGGAAAGAGCCCACTTCTTGTGCGTGAAGACACGTCTCTTCTTCTCTTGTGACGGTGCTTGCTGCAGCGGCCAAACCCACAACAGCACTGCCACCTCCCGTAGCAGCTGTCTGAACAGCTGTGCTCAAATACAGTGACTCTGCAGTTGCATGCAGTTGCTCGTGGGACTGTTACGCCAGGCGTACGGCAAGCGCATGCCTGTCGTTAATCGTGATTTTAGGGCTCTTCCTCCTCGCGATTAGGAGAGAAAGATATGTATATATAGAGAGAGAGACAGAGAGAGAAAGATATATATAGAGAGAGAGAGAAAGATATATATATATATATATAGAGAGAGAGAGAGAGAGAGAAAGAGACAGAGAGAAAGAAAGAGACAGAGAGAAAGAAAGAGACAGAGAGAAAGAAAGAGAGAGAGAGACAAAGAACGAAAGAGAAAGAGATAAAGGGAGAACGAAAGAGAAAGAGATAAAGAGAGAAAGGAAGAGAAAGAAAGAGACAGAGAGAGAACGAAAGAGAGAGAGAAAGAGACAGCTAGCAGGATGCATGTAACACTTCCGTCTGAGCGCAGCAGGAGCCGCTGCTGCTGAGAGGGCTGGCAGGAAGGGCAGGGACTGCATGCCTTTGAGGAGGATCCAAACAACTGGCGTCATGTGTTTTCATCACCCTTCGCAGAGTTTTTTTGCCGCAACTGGAAGCAGTTCAAGGGGAGGCTCTGCAGCGCACTTCCAGGCTTGCTTTCATTGGGGTTGTAACCTGCCTTCTAGGCAAAAGACAGACGAGAGAAGGCTTGCAAGCGTCTTCCTCCCCCGTCCTGCTTTTCCACCCTCTTTCCACTCCCCTTCGCCTCCTTTCAGAGGCTTGCCCATCCCGCAACGCTTGCTGCCTCGTGATACGTGCTGTAAAGAATTATGAGTCTGCCTGCCTGCTAGTTGCACTTGCTTGTCTGCACATGTTGCTGCGAACGCCAGCGCCTCCCGCCGTCCACTGCAGCTCTCAGAGGAAAGGGAAGTGAGAGAGAGAAAGAGAAAGAAAGAAAGAAATAGAGACAGAGACAGAGAGACAGACAGAGAGAAAAAAGTGGGGGTGGTGCTTATGTGTGATTCTGCGGCTGCTGCTGCTGCTAAGCTTGCTGCTGACCAGCGTTATTACCAGAGGAGGCGCTTTTTTTTCTGCAAAAAAATTGCAGCCGTGCTCTAGCCTGAAGAGCCTAAGTTCACTAAAGCACCTCCTCTGCAAACGTCGCTTCGCTTTCGCGGCTCCATGAAGGGGAATAGCCCACGTAACAAGAGCTTAGAGCAGCAGCAGTATCATCGCTCTAAAGCTCCTAAAGAAAGGTGTCTGGGGGAGATACTGCGGAAGACCCCTCTACAGGAATACGACCAGCTGAAGGCACTACTGCCCTCATCGCTGCCACAGTTTCGGCGGCAGACAGACTGTCTGGAGAGGAAACTGCCCCTCTCTCAACAGGTCTGAAATTACCCCCCAGTGAGGACGCAGAAGCTTCGCAAGAGAGAGCAGCAGAAGAAGCCTCCAATGCAGCAGTGCATGCAAAAGCCGCCTCTGCATCCCTTTCCGCAAAATCAGCGGATGGTGCTGCACGACGCGTTAAGGCACTGCTTGCTGCTCCTTCTACCCGATAGGCCATCAAAATCCCCTTTGTAGGCTCCTCGGATGTAACGGCAGCGCCTGTTGCTTTTCCTTCTGCTGCTGTATGTACTGCTGCTGTATGTACTGCTGCTGTTGCTGCTTCTGCTGCTGTTGCTTCTGCTGCTGTATGTACTGCTGCTGTATGTACTGCTGCTGTTGCTGCTGTTGCTGCTGTATGTACTGCTGCTGCTTCTGCTGCTGTATGTACTGCTGCTGCTTCTGCTGCTGTATGTACTGCTGCTGCTCCTGCTGCTGTTGCTGCAACGGGAGCCTCAAGATTTACAGCTGCAGCGGCCGTTGGAGCTGCTGGAATTTCTCCAGACAGCGCTGCAGCAACCCCTGCAGCGGGAAGAACTCCCACCGTTGTCATCCCCACGGCACCAGCAGACACTGCGCCTGCAGAAACTGCAGGGGTAGCTAGCGGCAGCAGCGGAGCTTGCTGCTGCTGCTGCTGCCCAAGCTGACGCGCTGTCTCCCTAATTTGCGAGGCTACAAGGCGAGCGCTGCGCGCTGTACGTCGTAAAACTCCACCGCCTTGCTGCAGGAGAGCCTGGAGCAGCCACGACGCAGGCAGCAGCAGCGCATGGGAGACTTCATGCAAAAGTAAAAGACGCATGCAACGGCAGCTCTGAGAAAAAAGCACAGGAAAAGGGCTCCTCCCCTTCCCTCGCTGGCGATAAGAGTCGTCTGTGCCTTGCCAGCCGGCAAGCAGCTTATACGACCCCACAGGCAGCCAACATCGAGAAGAGCAGTGCAATACACACAAACATGCACATACATATACACATACATATACACAAACATATACACATACATATACACAAACATTTACACATACATACACAAACACACATAGACACACATAGACACACATACATACACAAACATACAAACATACACAAACACACATAGACACACATACATACACAAACATACAAACATACAAAGACACATTAAGAAATAAACGTACACACACATGCATACACAAAAATACATCCACATGCACAAATAAACATACACGTACACACATACGCATACATACACACATACACATTCATACACAAACACACAAACATACACATCCACATGCACAAATAAACATGCACACACAAACACACATACACATGAACACATACACATGAACACATACACATAAACACATACACATAAACACATACCTGGACGGTGAGGAGCAAAGTGTCTTCTGTGTCGGGGATCGCTTCCCACACGGACCTTACGACATTTCCAACGCGGCGTGTTATCTGAGATGCAAAACAAATATGTGGCGAATTTGCATTTTCAAGACACCCTTTTGAACTGCTGGCAGCGAGCACACTCCAATGCCGCTGCTGCTGCTGCTACTGCTGGTTCTGCAATCAGCCAGTCTGCCCGTACGATCTGCACTAGCAGCATCGTTCAAGGAGGAAAAGCTAGTTAAGGGAGAACGAGGAGAAGCTAGTTAAGGGAAAAGGAGGAGAAGCTAGCTAGGGAGAACGAGGAGAAGCTAGTTAAGGGAGAACGAGGAGAAGCCAGTTAAGGGAGAAGGAGGAGAAGCTACTTAAGGGAGAAAGGAGAAGCTACTTTAGGAGAAAGGAGGAGAAGCTAGTTGAGGGAGAACGAGGAGAAGGTAGTTAAGGGAAAAGGAGGAGAAGATAGCTAAGGGAGAAGGAGGAGAAGCTAATTAAGGGAGAACGAGGAAAAGCTAGTTAAGGGAGAAGGAGGAAAAGCCAGTTAAGGGAGAACGAGGAGAAGCTAATCAAGGAAGAACGAGGAGAAGCTAATCAAGGGTGAACGAGGAAAAGCTAGTTAAGGGAGAAGGAGGAAAAGCCAGTTAAGGGAGAAGGAGGAGAAGCTAATTAAGGGAGAACGAGGAGAAGCTAGTAAGGGGGAAGGAGGAGAAGTTAATTTAGGAGAAATGAAGAGAGGAAAGTGAAGAGCTTGCCTTTCGCCATTTTCGCGGCTGCCCTGGAATTAGCGTGAGAGTTGCGAAGCGTTTGATGTCTCCGCGAGCAAGGCGCAGCTCCTCTCCGGGGGGGGCCCCCCCTAGGGGGCCCCCCTCCGCTGAGTTTGAAAGAGAATTAGCAGCAGCTCCCGAAACACCCCCAAGAAATATTCCTTCAGCAGCAGCCTTCTCTGCAGCTGCCGCTGCGGCTGCTGCTCGTTCTGCTGCAACTTGCCATCGCGTCTTTCCAGGATAGACATTCTTACCACGCGATCGGCCTCCTCGTCGACTCCTGCACACGGCAGACAAAACATCTCCGTTTGCTTTGTTAGACTTCCTGGGAGAGAAACGCCAGGCACGGAATCCTCTACGGGGAAGACTCTCCATACGTTAGCAGAAGAACGCGTATGCGAAGTAATCAGTAACCAAACAGGTACATTTACATATATGTATGTACATAGGTATATGCAATAACATACATTTATGCATACGTATGTATAGACATATGAATATACAATTACACATGTATATATGTGTATACATAGGTATGTGCAATTACACATATTTATGCATACGTATGTATAGACACATGAATACACAATTACACATACATATGTACATAGGTATATGCAATTACACATACATATGTGTATACATAGGTATATGCAATTACATATATACATGTATATACATGGGTATATGCAATTACATATATACATGTATATACATGGGTATATGCAATTACATATATATATATGGGTATATATATATTATATACACAAGTACATAGACACCTACATACATATAAACAGTTACACATATATATACGCATATGCACATGTAAATATGTGGAGGATCTACCTGCCGCGGGCACGCGTCTGCGTGGCAGTCAGGGGGTCGGGGACGGCGAATCCTCCGGTGGTGTTTGTTGGGAGGGGGCCCCCTGGGGATGTTGGGGGGCCCCCTGTCGAAGTTTCCCTCTCTTGCGGGGGGGGGGGGGCCCCTGCCTGGAATACGGAGGCTTCCGAAGAGGCACCGCTGGGGAGGAAGGCTGTCGCCTCTGGCACGCGGTCGCCTACGAAGAGAGTACTCCTGGAGTCGCCATAGCCGTCCAAGAGATGCTGTTGAGACGCAGAAGCGTGAACGAAGGGCAGGAGCGCTGACGTCGTGGGGGGGGAGGGGGGGGGCAGTGCTGAGGCGGTTTCCCCCCTTAGAGGCGGAGGATGAAGGAGAGGCTCTGGAAGAGAAGGCAAGCCCAGGTAGCCTCCCTGCAAAGTCTGAGAAGCGGCGTTGCCTGCGAGGGGGGAAGGGGTGCGCAAAGTCGCACTGGCGGCTGCAGCCTGCCCGATGGGGAGAAGGGGGGAGCCTAGAGACACGCTTTCCCCCTCCAGAGACGCGTCGACTCGCCTCGCTGCAAAGGGCAGACTCAAGGATGGCGACAGCGCAGCTGCAGACGGCGCCGACAAATCCACGGACGCCTCCCCCGACGCTGCGGAGGAGGCGGAACGACTCTCTTGTGCCGCCGCAGCGGCGGCTGTACTCTCCTGTGAAGGAAGGAAGGATACAGAGCCTCCAGAAACTTTCATCCTCGCCGAAAAACTTGCTGCCGTTCCTGTCTGCCCCGCCGTCGTCGCCGAGCCGCTGCGGCTGCTGCCCGTTTTCCGCAGACTCGCAGCTGCGCCCTGTACAGACAGCTGAAACGAGAGGCCGCTACTTGGTGAGTGCTAACGCACAGAGGGCTCTAAAACCTCAGTCTCAGCGCGTCAAAGCACCCCAAACACCAATGCATGCATGCATTCATGAGGCATGCATCATGGAGCAGCAGCAGCGACGGCGTTTCAGCGAGCGAGTCAGGAGGGGCCCCTCTCTCGGGGGAAGCGGCTTCCAAATACGAAAGACTAGGCTGCTGCATATATTTTTTAGAGAGGAAGAAGCCATATCTAAAAAAGGGGCCCTCTTAACGCTGTTTTTCCCGAACTCACTGAAACCCATACGCCAAGCAGGCGGAAGGAGCGAGAGGGAGGAAGAAGGGGGAGGGAAAGCCGACCTCTCTGCAACAGCTCACTAGCGCTGCATATCTACCAGTACGTCCAAGAGGCACCATATACAGCTTAGAGGAACGGCGGTAGCGGTGTAAGCAGATGAAGGGTCCTTTCTAAACACTCTGTAGAGGACCTTAGCCGTATGTTTTATTTCCAAAAAGCCTCTGGTGTTTGACCCCCCACCGGCAGACAACCCACCTAGACGATGGTCGATAAACACCATCTTCGCACACGCGCCCTCTGCATCCCCGCATGCAGAAAAAGGCTCGATGTTGGGGGGTGTACTTCCCTGTAGCGAGTCATGTCGCAAGTGCATTGCTATTACCTCAAACCAAGCACAGCTAGCCGTCTGCCCCCCATTTCCCGTAAACGCCTTTCGCGCTAACTGCCCTAAAAAGCCGCAGCAGCACCTTCCTTACCCCCCTACGCCACTGCGACTGCAGTCCTACAGACTGTCTCTTCCTACCAAGACTGCCGCTGCAGCAGTTTCGACTACACTAACACGCAAAGCCATGTGCGAGAGAGAGCAACGGCTCTGGGGGGAAGGGAAGCGGAAGGGGGAAGGGAGGGGAATGTCATTGAAGGGCCCCTTGGTGGTTGGTGGATATCGGCTGCAAGCTTCCTCGCAACTCTCCCCCTCCTCTCTCCCCCTCCCAACCCCGTTACAGGAGTGGCAACTGACGCGAAACGGCAGGCAGCAAAACAGCCGCAGACAGAGAAGCCTCGACACTCAGAAGATGCTTCACTCACGGAGAGGCAGCGTTTCAGCCCCGGTAAGAAAGCCGCCTTTCCAGCGCAAGAACGAAATGCCAGAAGCAGCATAACACGACCAGCAGCAGCGCCTCCTGCTGATCGTGTCGCAAGCGCTGCGGGTATGCAAACGCAGGAGCACTTGCAGAGACACTGCGCGTGGAAACACAAAGCGCAATGCGCTATGCTACATCTCTGGAGGCCGCTGCTGCCGTTCTTGCACTTCCAAACGAGCATCGCCCTCAACATTCAACTGCAGCATCCTCTGCAGTCAAGTCCAGTCGCGGCAGCAACCCCAAGAGGCTTTCTTCCCCCCCTTCCCCACTGTGTGCTGGCGTGCTGACTGCCTTTTGCTGCAGCTTATTTAAGGCCATCAGGAGACTTCTTTTGATAGAAACGTAGCATATCTACCGCCCCTGCTCCTGCTGCTTGGTCGACCAGACGGGAAGGGGGGAACCCCTTTCGCCTCCCTTCTTTCTACACATGGCGCGCCGCTATCCGTACATACATGGGCAAATCGCCAGCGTTCGCGCTTGTGTGTCTGCTACAGGTGCAGCAATCTCAATGCGACTGCCCCCCCCTTAGCTGCAGAACCATGTGGATTGTGCAGCCCGGTGACACGCGGTAATCACTGAGCTTCAGCTCATCGTTCATCTGCTTGCCGGAGAAAATGAGCCTAATTTGTTCTACGTCGACACCCTCCTTCTCCTGCAGCGCCTGTTTCACGTGCACCACCAGATTTTCGCCTTCGAAGTTAAAGGACTGCCTCCTGCCTGTCAGCGTCTTGACCAGTATTTGCATCTTCTCCTAAGAAGGGAGGCAAAAGACTCAAAAGGCCAAAAACGACGCGTGCATGCGCAAGGGCTGCTGCGGCCGCCTCAAGCGCACGGCCGCTGGCGAGCGAAGAAAAGACGCAATGCAGCTTTCCCCTGCTCGTGTAGAGCCGCCGCTGCCGCCGGGGAACTCAACTTGCAACCCACCTTAGAGACACAGGCAGCACGAGTCCGAAGAGGGGCAGCGAAAGTTGCAAAGAAGATAGAAAACAGATGCAGGTTGCGATACACGAATGCCCAGAGATACAAAGAGTCGCTACCGACCCGCCGGGTGTCTATGCAACCAGGCGCTGGATTGGGGTTTACAATGAACGCCTCCACGAACAGCCAGGATGTAATTTTTGCGCAAATGTGCAGCGGGCTCCAAATATTGTATTTCTCGACCAGTTTCCCTGGAACGACCTCCGCAGCACCGGGTTCGCTCGAACATCTCCCCGCATGCGCTGAGGTGTATCTACGCGTGCGCGGTAGTGGCCGGGCGAAGCGCGAGGTTTCCGCTTGCATTGCGTCTGCTAAAAAGCCTCAAACCAAACAAAAAGCGGGATTATATAGTGCATTAAGGGAAATCAGTAAGAACGTAGTCTTTTTAGAGGACGCCTCTCAAAGCGCTCATACACAGGTGTTCGCGTTGTGTGTGGTTGCACTTGTTCTATTATGTCCAACGAGCATATCTGTCGCGCTCCCATCCACCAGTGGCTGCACACAACACGCTCTTTTTTCTGCATTGTTTGTTTTTGCCTTTACGCTCGTTCGTACTGTATCATCTCTCGTTCTCTCCCTAGCCGCCACAGCCTGGCCAAAAAGCGCAGATATTGAAAAGGGGCTACCTGTACAGCCGGGGCCGGAGGTAGAGAAATACAGAGCGTGCAAGCTGACGTCACAGCGGACCTGGCCTGCGCTACTATAGCAGTTTTTTCTGCGATGTACGGGCACCCCCCAGTGCCTCATAATAAGTGGCTCCAGCTGGACCACTTCAACACTTTTTCGACCCCACTACACACTACACGACCCTGCAAAGAGTATTCGGCTAATATTCTCCCTCCCTGTACACCTTTAAGCAGCGTCAAAGGCGCATCGCTGCTGTCCGTAGAGCCCCGTAGCTGTCCGCGAGTATTTGCCAGAATCGCTGTGCAGTGGGTGGGGCCCCCTCCCCCGGCGTTATTAGAGTGTGTCTAGCCCATGTGCCACCCCTCGCTGCAGCTGGTCGCAGTGTGAGTGCAGCCGCGCGGGTGGAGTAGGAGCCGCTGCATATCCGCTAGGACTGCGTGCTGCATGCAAGTGCCGTGCACCTGCGGGGGTTGCAAGGCATTTTGGCATCAGGACTGGGGTGCCTCGCAGTGTACTTTCGGTTGCATATTCTCTAGTTGTAATGCCTCCCACCGCATGGCTGCGTGGTAGTGCTCTGTCTGCACTGACCTCCTGAGAGGGGCGGGTGTGAAGGCAACAGGGGGCCCCTTAAACTGGAGGAGCCGATATTTGGCCTCCTCTGATGAAGCAACGCAACACCCTCCAGGAGAAGCTCACGTGATCGCTGCTTGAGCCTCTTTAAAGGCCTTTTACAACGGCTTAGTACACTAGAAGCCGCCCTGGTGACCCCTTGACTGCTAGTGCAGGTCCTATTCGCTATCAAGTGGTTAAACGTGCCCGTAGCAAGCCAGGTTTAGAGATCCGCTCCCTCTTTGAACTCCGCCTTCGCGAAGAGGGCTAGGCAGTCTTGGAGAAGGCGTGCTTGGAGAAAGAGGGGGATCAGGAGCGGGGGAAAGGGAGGGGGGCAGAAGAAGGGGGTCGCTCAGACAGCGTAAGCGGCGCTGTATCTCGATGAGCCTCCACCGGTTAGGCCTGGAGCGACAGCGAGTCAATGGCTTCGATCTCTTCCGCAGCGGGCAGCTCCTCTAAACATGCCCACCCGTCTTCTGCTTTTCCTGATTCACAACAAGCAGAAAAGCAGAGGGCTCGTTGCGCAGCAGCCAACGTCGGTGCCTGCCGCTCTTACAGCAGCCAAAGCAGCGCCTGTCGGTGAGTGCTGTCTGAGCAACGAACACGGATAACGCCAAGAGCAGCGACAGCAGCCCACGCATCAGCTTCGAATTCACAAGGCGCAGCTCAACGCGCTTGATCCCGTATAGGTAAAAGTTTCCACGGATACGGCGCAAAAGGGGGCCGCCAAGCCGTCGGTTATAGCGCTGCACCACCTCTTCCAGTTCCTCCTCCTACAGCAGCACAAGAGCGATGCAATCCCCCAACAAACACACACACACACACATTCACACACACACACACACACAAACACACATTCACACACAAAGCTAGACACCCAGTAGAAAGCCCCTCTGGCGATGCGTGTGGAGAGCAGCAGCAGCGTCTCGGCAGCGGCACCACCATGGGTACAAGCATGGGATCATTGACAGCAGCAGCTTCCCTCTGGACCCCGCAAACATCCTACGAAAAGAAGCACTCACAGTGTCAGGAGATGCAAAGTTCGATGCAGGCTGCTGCTCCCTCTGGTGCTGCTGTGATGCCGACTGCTGCTGACCTTGCAGCACTGGCTGCTGCTTCGAAGGATCCTCCAAAAACGCCGTTGCTGTTTTTCTAGCCGACGACATGGTGTTGCTGCCTCCAAGGAACTGCGTGTGCGTTGAACTCTCCCCAAAACGCGCACGCTGCTGCTGCTGCTGCTGCTGCTGCTGCTGGCTGCCTTGCCACATCAGCTGTTCTAAGGTGCGATCAATCTGCAGACTCTGTTGGTGCACGTCGAAGCACCCATTCGGCAGGGGCAAGGGTTGTACTGCAGTTGCGCTGCTGCTGCTGCTGCTGCTGCTGCTGCTGCTGTTGGAGAGCTGCATCTGCCGGTGCTCTAGCTGCCTGTGCTGTCTGCCTTCTGCGCACTGCAGCATAGCGATTTGCTGCTGCTGCCTCCAAATGACTCGCTGCAGTTGCTGCACCAGCATATGTACATCCATGGCCTCCGCTCGAGCCTGTCGTTACAGCAGAAGCAGCAGCAGCAGCAGCAGCAGCAGCAGCGAATGCAGCCTTGCGGATCTGTGCTGTGCAGCCCTCCTGCTCCCCTCCTGGGCATAAGGCTGCAGCTGCATGCGACTGCTCCTTGCGTTTTCGTCTTAGCGGCACTCACCTTTTCGAGAAGCAGCGAGTCTTCCTGCAAGGCTTGAGCCTTTTCCGTCTGCTGCTGCAGCTGCACCCGCAGTTCATCGCAGCCGCGTCGCAGCAATTCTAGCTGCACAGACTGCAGCAAGCAGCGTCGCAAAATGTCGCAAAGGAGAGCGCGCGAAGAATGCTGGGAGGCAGCGCGAAGGCACGAGGGGCCTCCCCGCAGCAGCAGCAGCAGACACATCGCGCGAAAGAACAGTGGCGTGCGGAGCGTTGACGGCGCAAGGCAGAAAAAATCGCAAGACACAAAAACAACAGGAAGCCACACGTGGCAAAAGGGATAAAAGCCTCTGTCCCCCCCCCCTTCCCCCCCGCTCTTTCCCCTCTGCATCTTCTCCTTCACCATCGGCAGCCAGAAAGCACCTTATCGTTCGCATGCAAACGCGCTTCCAAATCAAGAATTTGCTGCCGGAGATCCTCAGCCTCGACTTCGCGAGCACCCAGAACTCGCTGTAGCTGCAGCAGCTGCATGCAGCCGTTTGAAGGCAGCCACAGCAGCAAACAAAACAGCACGGGATGAGGGAGAGCTGGGGGAAGAGGTGCAAGACAACCGTCGAGTCTCGCGTCCGACCACTTTCCCCTAAAACAGCCTTCTCGCAGCTTTAAATGCCTTCGAAAATCGCGCGTGCTTACCATCTCCTGCTTCCTCTCTATTTCCGCCTCCGCCTGGCGAATCTGCTGCTGCAGCTTTTCCTCGCTCTTGCTGTACGCTGCGCTGCGTTGCGCAGCCTCCGCACGCTGCAGACGGCAGCGATCGCAGCCAGAGAGGCTCACAAGGCACCCACACAAATGCGAGTGAAGAGCAACACTCACCTGCCGCTTCTGTGCAGCCTTTGTCGATAGATGAAGCGCTCTGTAGAAGCGCTGGCAGCCTCTTCTCCCCCCTCAAATGCGAGACTGACACTACGTACAGCAGCGAGCCGTCCCCTAGTTGTAGGACTGCTAGGAGTATCATTCGAATAAGCAGGGGTAGTAATACGAGTCAGAACGAGCAGCCAGCAAATAGACACACCGCAGCCGCTGCAGCCTCAGCGCTAAGTTCCTTAAGTCGTTGAATCTCCTGCTGCAGGCTCTCCACTCTACAGCACACAACCACACACACACACACATGCACACATGCATGCATGCTTGCATACACGCATGCATGCACCTACATGCATACATACATACTTGTATGCATGAACATGCATACATGCATGCATACATACATACGTGTATGCATGAACATGCATACATACACACACACATACATACTTGTATGCATGAACATGCACCTACATACACACATACATACATAGATACATGCACCTTCATACATACATTCTTTCTTGTATATGCATGAACATGCATACATACATACATACATACATAGATACACGCACCTACATACATACATACATGCATGCATGCATGAACATTTTCGAAATTTCATAAGTGGAGAACTGGAGGCTATGCAGCGAAAGTTTAAATGCGTGACAGGGGAGATAAGAGCTTCCCGAGGCACATGCACATACACCCCACAATACACTCCTCAATACACTTCACACTACACCCCACACTACACCCCACGATACACCCCACACTACACCCCACGATACACCCCACAATACACTCCACAATACACTTCACAATACACTTCACACTACACTTCACACTACACCCCACACTACACCCCACGATACACTCCACACTACACCCCACACTACACTCCACACTACACCCCACGATACACCCCACACTACACCCCACACTACACTCCACACTACACCCCACACTACACCCCACACTACACCCAAACTTTGACAGGACGTTATGACGGGAACCAACCGCGCAGCTGCAGCTCGATCTGCCTCCGCAGCCCTTTGTGTGGCTGTCTGCAATTCGAATGCAACTGCATGCTGCTGCAAGCGGTGCTGCTGCTGCTGATATTGCTGCTGCTGCTGCTGCGCGCGCGCCTCGCAGATCTCCCTATCCTTGGCAGCCATGGCCTCTTCCATCTGCACCTCGCCGCAGCACAGTCGAACTGAGCGCTTAAAGAGCATGCCTCTCCCCTCCGACAGCTAATAGTGCTGCTGCTTCTGCCGCTGCTGCCGCGCAGCAGCTAGACAGACAGACAGCTCGGCAGCAAGCACGAGATCGCCGAGTGTGTTGATTCCAGAAGAAACCCCACCCCCAGAGGCGTGTTCACTACCTCCCTGCCGCATTCCACGCAAAAAAAAGCAGTCCCTCCCCACTCGCCTCATTCTGACGCACTGTTGTTAGTCGCGCCTTGAGCACATCCGCTGCATGTCTCAGCTGCTGAACCTCGGCAACGGCTAACGCCGTGCGACTCTCAGCGTCTCTCCGCTTCTGCTCTGCAGACAGGAGAACCCCGCCTTCCAGCCGTTGTCGCCAGAGACGTTCTTCTTCCAGCTCCTTCCTGCAGCAGCAGCAGCAGCGCAGAGGTGGGGGGAGCAACAGAGGAGGCAAAGCGGCACTCACGAAGAAGTTGCGAGGCAGAAAGAAGGGTAAGAAAAGAGGGGGTTTAAGCCTCGCAAAAGACGCGGCACTGGCAGCTGAGACATGCAGGAAGCCAGAAACGCAGAAAAATTCTCGAAAAAAAAACAACGACCCCACACAGTGCTGCCCTTCCCACTCTCGCAGCAAAGCCGTACTGCAAGGCGAAGATTGTCTCCTCCTTCATGGAAAGCTCCCCCTTCAGCGTCTGCACGGCGTGGTCTTTCCTTTCCACGTCAAACTCTCGACCAGCCTGCAGCAGAAAAACAACCCACAGCCACATGCACGCTGTCTACAACCACTTGCGCCACAGATAAAGCGAACGGAGCTGCCGTCGATACCCCCCATCCGCCTAGGATGCATGCAACGCAGAATATTAGCGCTTTGAGAGAGAGAGAAAGGAAAGAGAGAGAGAGAGAAAGAACGAGACAGAGAAAGAGAGAGAAAGAACGAGACAGAGAAAGAGAGACAGAAAGAGAGAGAGAAAAAGGAAGAATGCTTTTTTCCGGGGGAAAGGCTAGAGAGGCAAAGGCAGAGGAGAGGAGAAGGCAGAAGAGAGAGAAAGGCTAAGAAGGGGGGAAAGAAGGAAAGGCTATGCCACGCGGCTTGATGCAGTCCGACTGACAAGTGCGCGCTGGTAATCCAGCAGCTGCGTGTCGAGTTGGCGTAGACGAGCTTCCATCTCATGCGACCTGCAGCAGCGAAACAAAAGCAGCAGAAGTTGCAAAAGCAGTAGAAGCACAAGCAGTAGCAGCAAAAGCAGTAGCGGCACAAGCAGTAAGAGCAGTAACAGTAGCAGCAGCAAAAGCAGTAGCAGCACAAGCAGTAAAAGCAGTAGCGGCACAAGCAGTAAGAGCAGTAACAGTAGCAGCAGCAAAAGCAGTAGCAGCACAAGCAATAAAAGCAGTAGCAGCAAAAGCACTAGCAGCACAAGCAGCAAAAGCAGTAGCAGCAAATGCAGCCGCACAAGCAGCAAAAGCAGTTGCAGCAAAAGCAGCAGCATCAAAAGCGATTTTTGAAGCAGGTGCATGAGTAGCGACAATTGCATGCAGCAAGAAGAGCATCCCACGGAAAAACGGAGAAAGGGCCTACCTCGCTGCTTCCGACGGTGATACAAGGGCAGACTGATTCGCGAGCTGAATCTGTTGCTGCTGCAAAGCGTCCAGCTGCTTCCTAAGTGTGTCTGCAGAAGCTTCAGCGGCAGCAGCCGCAGCGACTGCCGAAGAGAGACGTTTTTCTGCAGCGACAAGAGAATTGAGGGCAGTAGCAGCCTGAGCTTCCTTTCTCCTGCGGCACAAGCCAAGGCAGCAAAATGCATCAAAATGCATCAAAAGAAGGTTCCTGCGAAGCGCAAGAAAAGCCTGTGCAAGTCAGAAGTCACGCTACACCTGCACAAACACCATGCAGAAGGCAGCGAAGGAGGAGATGGTCGAGCTGAACTGCTTTCCTAAGGACTAACGGCCAGTGCTGCGTACAGCGCAAGCTCCCTCAGCGACTGCAGCTGCGACTGCTGCACCGTCAGCAAACGCTGAAGGCGCGCTATCTCCTGCAGCAATCAGCATACCCAACAAGCGAAAGAAAACCCTCCGCCTGTGAGGCTAGCTATCTAGCTAGCTAGATAGCTAGCTAGCTAGCTAGACAGATAGCTATCGGCGGCTGCATGACTAGCTGGATAGATGGACAGCTAGCTGGCTGCTTGGAAAGCGGCTGCTGAGCTGCAGCAATTCAGCTGGCTTAGGAGCCGCATCATCGAGGAAAATGCATGCAGGAAACATGAGGCTGCGAAAACAACAGCAACAGCAATCCTGCCGCAACAGCAATTCCGCTGCACGTACTTCGTCTTGTTGCGCTGCTTGCCGTTGCTGCTGCTGCGTGGAGGCAAACCGACTTTCCGCTGCCTGTGAAGATGCAAGGGCAGCCGCAATAGCGCCGTCGCACGCGTGTGCTGCTCCTGCTGTGTTCTCGGGTGTACAGACAGCTGCAGCAGCTAGCGGCTCGGAGCCGCTAGGCATTGCACCAGCAGCAGCAGCAGCAGCATATCCAGGAAAACAGTCTTGGGGAATTTGAGTCGCCGTTGTTGCCGGTGCAAGAGCAAAAGCGACACTTTCCAAGCGCGATGTGAGAGGGCTGTAACTGCCTGTCTTAGTCATCGACGCTGGTGTTGCCTCTGGAGATAATGATACTGCTGCTGCTGCTCTATCTGCTGCTGCTGCTTTATCTGCTGCTGCTGCTCTATCTGCTGCTGCTGCTGCTCTATCCACGACACTTTTCGAGGAGGAGGCAGTGGCGTTCGAGATGGGTGCTGCCGACGCTGGTGTGGGAAGAAGAAGAGGCTGCTCTCCATTATTGCCTGCGTTCAGTAAAGTGCTAACGGCATCTTCACGCGATCCCTTTCCTCCTTCTCCTGTTGCTGTTGTTTCTTCTGCTGCTTCTGCTGCTTCCGCTGCTGTTTCTGTTTCTCCTCCTGCGCCTCCTGCTTGTGTTTCTGTTTCTCCTCCTGCGCCTCCTGCTTGTGTTTCTGTTTCTCCTCCCGCTGCACGCTCAAGGGGAAGCAGCCTCACTGCCTCTGCCACCTCTGTAAGCGCGGCAGTTGCCGTATGAGGTGTTGCTGCGGGTGGGGTTGCTGCTGGAAGTTCGAATAAAGGAACGGGGAGTCGCTTTGGCGAAGCCTCTGGCCAAAGACTGCCGGTGTCATTGCCATCATCGGGAGATGCGCAGAATGTTGTTGTTGTTGCTGCTGCTGCTGCTGCTGCTGCTGCTTCTGCGGGAGGCAGCGGGAGGGTGTCTCGCGACAAGTTGAAGGGGGGAAGTTTCCAGCGGGAAGCTCCAGAACCGTCCACAGGGGATAAATCAAAATACATGGGAGGCTGTGAAAGGGCAGATGCTGCAGCCGCTGATGAGGGCACTGACTTTTCGACGCATGCAGAAGAAGCTGCTGCGTTTTCTCCATCGTGTGTCTCCTCGCTGTTGTAGCAAGAAGAGGGAAGCACTGGCATCCCACTCCCCTGCACGGAGGAGACATTGCAGCCTCCATTCAGCGGCATTGTGGAGTGCAGTCTGAGTACGACACCTCCCACTGCTGCTGCTGGTAATGCCAACGCTGCTGCTTCTATCGCACGATTCAGAAAGAGGGAGTCGCTACACCAGTCCTTGCGCCTTCTGTGGGTTTTTCTGCTTCTGCTGAGCTAACGACTCTCCGCTGTTTCTTGCTCTAAAAAGGGAGGCTGCTGTTACTTTGCGGAGAGGCTTCAGGGGGAGTTTCCTACTTTAAAGCCTTCGGGGGAGCCGCCAACTGCGGTTGTTGAAGCGCTGCGTCAATGCTGCTGCAGCAGCAGCAGTTGCTCCCTCTGCTCGCAGCAGCAGCAGGTGCAGTTGCAGGTGCAGTTGCTCCCTCTGCTCGCAGCAGCAGCAGCAGTTGCTGCTCACATGCCCGTTTCGCAGCTGCGCTGCCGCTTAGGCGGCTGCCTCAGCCGATGCTGCAGGGGAAGGAGGGAGGAGGGGAGGGCCTTCTTTTTAGAACGCCAACGAGAGCACTTGTATTCAGCAGCAAATGACGGCATGCAGTTACGGGCAGGGGTGGGAAAAGGATGCGGCGTCCTCTGCTGCAGATCTGATCTGTGGTGTTTCAGCTTGCAGTTCGGGGTGGAATATTCAGCGCTGCGAGAATTCAAAGACTGAAACGACATTCATGCCGAGGTGAGGCGTTCGTAGAGCTATCTTCCGCTGCCGTCTTGCCGCCTTGCAGCACCGTGCAGCATCGCGCTGCAGCACTGGCTGTCCCCTAGGGTGAAACGCATCAAAGAGAAGCGATATATATATATATGCCTTTGCGTGGAGCATTCATGCTTTGGAATGCTGCCTGGCGGTTCTAGACGAGAGGACAAGACTGCGCCTGTCAAGGGAGGCAGTGTTGCTCGCGTCGGCTGCCTGGCACGAGGGGGGCCCCCCTCGCGAACTTGGGGGCAGGGGGCCCCCCGCCCCCCGCTGCGGTGTCTGCTCATCGTGCGCAGCATTATATGGACTCCAATTTGGAATTTGGAGACTCTAATGGAGGATTGTTACGCGTGCGGAGCGAAGAAAAGGCACTGTGCGCCTTTTCACGACCTACGCTCGTCTGGAGCGACCCCGAAATCCGCCACCAAAAAACACGTTCAAAAACAGAATACCGCATCCTCTGGCGATGCCTGCCTCCTGCGCTATGCCGCGCGCCATTTGCTGGCTCTCCAGCTCTCAACCTCGAAGCCCTCTCTCGCTGACGCCTCTGGGGGTTGCCTGCCCCTGCCTGCCCCTGCTCGTGGTTGTTTAGTAATGCTGATGGGCTCTTCAGCCAAGTCTAAGACAACTGCACAAGCAGCCAAGCTGCGTAGCTGTGGCTTTCTCTGGCGAAATTGCATGAAGTGGCTCTAGAAAGACCCCCCTCCCCCGCCTGTCAATAGGACCGACGGGTAGATCCTTTTGATTTGTCATTATCTAGTGCTTCTGCATGCAGCCAGCCTAAGTC